AAATTAACACAAAATTCAGTTTTTCATAAGAGGGCCAAACACATCGATGTCCGTTACCACTTCATCAGAGATCATCAGAAAAGAGGAGAGATAAAAGTTCAGTTTATCCTCACCGATAAACAACCTGCTGATATGCTAACAAAGTGTTTGTGTTCACCTTCATTAAGAAAGTGTTGTGACTTTTTAAATATTAATTGAGTTACGTTTGGTGCAAGGGGAAGTTGTGGTTATAATAGCTTAATTTGCGCTTATTTAAGCTTAATTATTAACAATTTATTCGTTGATTATATTTATATGAACAATTTCAACTTTTCGATTTTCTCCCATTCACTTAACATGGGAACTCATTAGTTTGTCGCCATTTTTCGCGCCCATTAGCTTTGCACTGATTGTAATGCTATCATCTTGTAGAACTCATTAATTGCAATCGATTCGTATATTAAGATAATTGATTGATCATTTGGTTCTCGAGCAATTAACCAAAAACCTTAAATTTTCATTAATAATTTAGCTTCAAGTAAACTTTTCGCACACATGATAATTTTGATGAAATCATTACAATTATGACATGCATATACATGGATATCGTTAGAAAGACAATTAAACGTAGAATCGACCAATATACTAATCATTAATTTAAGTTGATTAGTCTCTGAGATATGACCCTTAACATTTGGTCGATTCCCAACAATTAAGTTAATCATTTTTTCTTAATTACTTTCATCTCTTTCTTTCTAACTTAACCATTATTTTATATTATTATTATTACCATTATTATCCATAATTATTGAGATGATCAACCAACTAATGACCATCCCTGTCCATTAGTTGACCGACAAAGGGTAAACTAAGTTTTACCATTTTCCTTATTCTTTTCTTTTGTGCCCCAAACTGTCACTCACGTTACTCTCTCTCATCTTATCTTCTCTCTCTTCATCTCCTCTCATCTCTCTCACGTACACACACACAAACAACACTTTCAACCGCCAAAAATAACCAAACCCAAATATTGACCAATTGGGTCATTTGATTCAAATCTTTGTAACGACCAATCCACAGTATTTAAACCGAACCCAAACTAATAAACCTTGTCTTTAGTTGATGACAATTGAAGAGATACCATCTCTTAGAGTATTTCATTTTCTTTCTTTTAAAATCTAAGTGTTTCCTTCTTAATACAAGAAGAAGAGTTAATTTGATTAACAGTTTTAATTAGATTTAATTGTGTTTTTCCGACTAAAACCAACAACTCATGATTCCATTTTCAATCGATTCCTTTATTTTAAATCGTAAATTTTTCATGAGGCCACTGAAATAATCAGAATAAAATGTTTTGAGTTGAATTTTGACCCTTCTAATCAATTCTTTTTCATTATTTGCTCGAAAACCATTAGCATAGACTCTCTGCTTTAGATGAGAGAAAAAAGTTTCAATGGGTCTTAACATTGGCACACATGGGGGGTTACGATGTTTCGGAACGTAACGAATTTTTGATTCATTCAAAAAGCTCAAAGTATCTTTAGCATAATGAGCCTAAGCTAAATCAGGCCAAAAAATTGAATGATTAACATCATGAGATGCGTAGAAAGGTAGTAGATTTGGGCGAAGAAATTTTTGATATAAATGTCGGAATTCAGGGCACATTTAGCCACATGAAAGTAAGGGGTGGAAATTCCAAGTTCACTGATTGCTATCCACATAAGAAGTTTTTTACTCAACTTGGCCTTTTCTCGGTAACATATTTGATCAGGAACAGAGTCAAGATCATTAGTATACGAGAAAAATTTACCACCAAAAAAATCGTGACCGTCCAATGCGAAATACGTTTCGTCATCCATGATAACGGTACATCCTCGAATCGAAGTCATTAGCATTGGTAGCCTTTCTATTTGAGTTTCTTTCTGTTTTTCAGAAATTTTTGGAACTTTTTTTCTGACGAAAACATTGACACCAACCTTAGGAAGATATTTCTTTATCGTAACCTAATGATCGGCCTAATGAACGATAGCCCGGAAAATTTGGTCGTCGGTTAAAGACTTGATTCTCTTTATTTCGTTATTTTTTAGGACTATTGGAGGTCTACCGAACTTTTTGTTCATAAATATCGTTTCTCCATTAGCTAATTTATCATAGTAACGATATGCACTAGTTTCGGACACACCGAACTCACGAAATTTAGTTACGAACTCAGACTTAGAAAACTTTTCACTATTAGCAAAATAGAAATTTTCACAAAACTTTTTTAATGTTGCCACTTCCATAGTTAATAAAACAATAATTAATCAAGTCTCATGTCTGAAATTTACACAAACTGCCCCTTGTGTATTTGAAAGCATTGCCTGTAAATATTTTCGAGATAAGATAACCCAAACTCGAGATATTGGTCATTTCCTGAAAATTCCCAAACTTTTTCTCCACAGGTTATTATTTTGTTTAAATACTTGACATGATTAGAAGAAGAGTAGGAAAAAAAGAAGGAGAAAAGAAAAGGAAAGAAAGAGAAGCGAGAAAGGGGATGATGATGGTGATGAGGATTAGGATGAGAAGAGAAAGAAAATAACTTTTCTTAGTAAAGGAGGAGTTAAATTTGGGAGGAGTTGTGAGTTTCCTTGTTTAACATTGTGCCCGGATTAAAGATGCAACATGCGTCCGCTGAGGGTTTACTTAATCCATTGGTTGATCTCGCCAACGCATCCCTTTGCCAGGACAATTCCATTGTACCAAGGCCATCAAAATTTTAATGAATTTGCCTCAAAAACAATTCAACACTGGATGGGTGCTAAGCGGAATTGGATGAGCTTACTTTGAAATGTCCAAACAAGAAGATGATTTAATATAAGTGAATCTCATCTGTTCCCAATGAGCGTGCAAATTGTTTGAAAAGAGCAATTAAGTTAATTCAACACGAATCTTAGATTCTTTTTAAATATTAAAATATTGTATCCAATTTAACGAAATTTCTGATTTGATTATAAAGAGAAGTTGAGTTGTTTCGATGCAGCTTTCAGAATTTGATCGTCCAAATTAAAAAGTCGATTTGATTTCGAATCCATTGGAATTTTGACCTTTAACTTAATAAGATCTTCTAATATCCAAACATAAGTCGATTCCATGTAGGGATTTTCAACCGATTTTTTATACTCTTCTTTTGGTAGACAATCTTTGAGAGTTGCACATCCAAGCAATAGAGATATTGGATAATCTATTGAGAATTTTGTATTAGTTTTGGTCACTAGAGAGATTTTTTCAGCCTCATTGATTTCATCTTGAGTCATGATTTTTCCTGATGCATGGATCCAAATAGGACCTCGATAATGTGTGTACCAACTGCGACCTTCTTGAAGTTTGATTCCTGAGATTCCTGAGAGCCCACGGTTGTTGAATGGTTAAACATACACCGGAATCGCTCATTTCCATCAATTCAGGACCTTGAAGTCGCAAATTGTTACTGAAAATTGAAGAATTCAATCTTATCGGAGCTGAAGAAGTTGTTGGTTCGATTGTCTTATCGTTTTTGGTTACTTCTTTCTTTTTCTCTTTCTCACAATAAGCTGCTCGGGGTAATTTCTCATTGATGTTGATCTTTTTACTATCCACGACTACATAATCTGACTTATAAGCAGCATCGTCTTTCTTCGACCACTTTACTAACATCAGCGATAACGGGGGTCACATTTTCTATAAACCTTCGGTTAACAATATCTAGTGTAAGGGTTCGGTCTTTAGCGAATTTTTTTTCTTGCAGTTGATCAATTTTAGCTCCAATTTTGTCCCTTGCATCTTGACTTAGCCAGTGTTGAGATGTCAACTTGAAATAATCACTTTCATCGTCAATTACACGCGTTTGTTGTTTATACGTACGATCATATTCTAACAATGTATTCTTATGTTGAACAGCTTTCTCTAGACTAGCAGCGATGTTTCTGATTCCTTCTCGCTTATTTTTCTCAACGTTCTTCTTTTTTTCATTCTCTTTACCCTGATGGGATGAGCTCAAATAGGCAGCAACACTTGCGGCAGCAGCTTCATTTTGTCTTTCAATTTCTTTATCGTTAACAAATTCACCACGAGTGAAACACTCGCCAACCCTTTCTTGTTCACAGACAATCCGACCACAAGATGTACAGTTGTTGATCAATTTATGAGCAGAAGCTTCACAGTCACAGGGATGACGACCTAATAACCAAGTTAATAAAATAGTAAAAAAAATAATTAGTCACCAGCAAAGATACAAAACAAATAAAAAAAATACTCACCGGGTAACAAAATGTTGTTATCAAAATCTAAGATTGGAACAAAATTTTTCTTCTTGCCCCCTCGTTTGGAGTTTTCCTTTCCAACAATAGAACTCACTGAAGAATAGAAATAAAGTCAAAATAAATTCAGAAACAGAAAATAAGAACATCAATTAAAAGATTTTTCTAATTAACTTACTCGCAACACTTAGGATTCACTGGTAATTAATTGTTGACATTGTCAACTTGACAACAATTTGTTGAAACTTCAGAGATCAGGGGTCGTACTATTTTTCTGTTTACAAAAAAAAGAATAAAAAACTTTATTATTATTCGGTCCCTGGTTTTTTTCATTGTTGTGGGAAAAATGAAAATATGTTAACTCACATATTATTAAATAACGATCATGCTAAACAAATATTGATGACACCAGTTACATGGAAATGGGATCTAGAAGGGGAGGATGGACTGAAGCCGAAAACAAAAATGAAATTATTATTGTACAAAAACAAATGAGAGAATGTAATTACAATGTTTTTCTACTCTAATGGCTGAAAAGCCCGGGAGGTAACCTGAAGGTTAGCTGGTCTAGTTGCACAAGAGACTAGAAATCAAAAGAATCATAACCAATGAAATTGAAGCATCTATGTCACTGAATCACCGAGCAACCGTTGTCATCACAACATGTATTCAATGTGGTTGTAAACTCAAAGTCTTTGGCTGTATGTATTTAAGATCATTTGATTTAATTAATTTTAAAATTTTAAAATTTGAATCAATCAACAATCAACACTTTGATTATTCCTCGTGCTCTTTGTGTTTCCGTTTAATCCAATAGACGAGTGTTACCGAGTTTCCATTAAACGTCTTAACATGCAATCTGGTGGAAAGGTTGAAGCTGGTAATTCTTCTGAGACTTCTGATTCTTCAGCAAAGGTTAGTATCGTATTTATTAAAACAAATTTAACAGGTCAAGATGTGTCGGAGGTCACTGGAGAAAAATGACAAAGTCTATTAAAGGAGAACTTGGTAAGTGTTACTTTTTTTTGGTTCTCCTCGATTGTTTAACCTTTAATTATTGCCAATTCTTACCTGTTGATTCTTTAGCTGTGATCTGTTTGTGATAAACGAGGTTTAATTGATTTCGCTCGTCGACTGGCTAATAGCGGATTGAATCTCGTGGCCAGTGGAGGATCAGCCAAGACTCTACGAGAAAATGGCTTGAACCTGAAAGATGTGTCAGAGGTCACTGGAACACCTGAAATGCTCGGTGGTCGAGTGAAGGACCACAATTACGATTGTGTTGTGTTATGTTGATATATGGCCAATGATCTAACACCATTGGCTACCGCTTATTCTCGTGCTCGAGGAGCCGATCGAATGTCCTCTTTTGGTGATTTTGTGGCCCTTTCTGATATCTGTGACGTTCCCAAGATAATCTCACGGGAAGTTTCTGATGGGATAATTGCACCAGGTTATCAAGAAGAGGCTTTGAATATACTTAAGAAAAAGAAAGTTGGTTCTTATTGTATTCTAGAGGTAAATAATCTTACTCTTCATCTAATGAGATCATACCATCGTCACAAAGGTCCAACAAAGGTGAGACTTTAGTACAATCAGTTAATCGTATAAAAATTTTAACAACAATCAGAAGAAAGAAATAGTTACTTGTAATCATCGATAAGCAATTCCAATAATTATCGTGATTAAAAAATTAACTTAAATTTCCTAAGAAAAGATAAAAATTTAGATTAACTTTTTTTCTTAAGAGTTTGAGACAATCAAAATGTAGATTTATGAACAAACCCCGAAGAGTAAAAATCTCAATGAGATTATCTCATCAAGTTATTTTTCATTTCAACGGTTTAATTGTCGAATGATGATTTAATTGTTTCTTTGGTAAGATGAGCGTTAATGGTTGGAGGCGGAGCTTATAGCTATCCAACACACTTATCCCTGTGTTTGTTTAAATAAGGTTAGGTTAGGTCTTCATTCAAAGGGTCAAAATCGACAGAGGAAGGCCCGGAGGGCCTGGGACGGGCGCACAAATCACGAATCAAACGGGCGCACAACTAACCCAAAATTCAGTTTAATTTTTACATTCTAAGCTATGGAAATCAGCGATAAGTGTGTTAAATAACCATTGGCTCCACCTCCAACCATTAACGCTCATCTTACCGTTTCTTTTGTTTAACCTTTTGATTAATTAATGTAAGAATTAACTTCTTAATGAGTTGTTTGTCAATCTAAATGATTATGCAATAGAATTTACCTTTGGATTGAGAATCTATTGGGTAGAATTTTCTTTTTCTCAATTTTGTTCTCTTTTTAGTTTTGTTTTTTTTCTATTTTTTTTATTTTCAAATTAGACTAACCTCTTGTCTGTTTGTTTGTTTATTTCGTTTGCTATATTTTAGATTATGGATCAATCAAAACCTTCACAATCATCACAATCAGCAGGACCATCATCACCTTCACTTTTACATCCGAATCCAAGAGGTTTATTTGTCCGTAATCTTGGTTATAAGAGACGTAAAGAAGTTCTGATCAGATATTATACCAAATTTTTCAATCAATTTGGAGCAGTTGAATTTTTCTATGTTGCCTGGGATCATATACGAAATGCTATCAAAGGTTATGGTTTTGTGACCTTTCAAAATCTTGAAGATGCAGAGAGGGTTCTTGCTCTCACTCCAAAAGAGTTATATGACACTGGAGTCAATAAGACTGTTGTTTATTCAGCAACCCAGAAGACAATGGAATTGATTAAAAATGAATTGAAAGAATTAGCTATAGAAAGAGAGGTGGTTAGACAACAGAAAGATGAGCTACTCTCCAGCCCATTAAAGGAAACATTTGATGAACCAGAAGATGAAGAAGCAAAGAAAGAAGAAGATGAACCAAAAGAACCAATTGAAAATCCAAGTGAATCTCCCGCCAATAATCCAGAAGAGAGATTGAGTAAACTGACAATTATAAACATCCGACCATCTCTCAAATGGTTTTCAAGAAAACAATTAAACGAGCTGAACAATCAAATTATACCGATGTTTATGTTAATCGACAAGTTGGCCTAGAAATGGACGGGAAAAAATGGAAGGAAGCTCTCGAAGTTGCACCTAAACTGTTAACAGAGGATGATGCCAAAAACTAGATTAAGGAGAATTGATTTGTAACCAATCCTAAATAATTGACATAATTATGAGTTGTAATATCTCTAATCGAATCTAATTCTTTTTTATCTTTTTTTCTTTTCTTTTCAGTTCTTCATAACTTTTTTTCTCCTAATTTTTTCTATCTGATTTTTTGAAATTCTAATATCTGTTTTTACTTATTGCAGAAAGAGTTGTCACTGAATCGTGACCAGTATACTTTTCTAGAATTGTTTATCAAAAGGCGAAAAGATACCGATTGTAATATGGACACAGTTATGGATGCGTTGCACACACTTGATGATGACAATCAGGAGTTCAATATTAAGGATGCTGTTTTGGTTTATCAAAAGTTTACAGTTAATATCTGCTTTGCCCCCCAATATGAACATTTCATGGCTCGTGCTATAAGAGATATTGAATCATCCGGTCATTCTGCTCAGTTTCTGCGTGAATATCACAATAAAAATAACGCTCGGAATGCTGGTAATTAGTTTAATGAAATTTTTCAATTAATTTAGTTTAATAAAGAAATTTTTCATTTTACATTAGTATCGATCTCTTTTCTCGCCTCTTTATTTTCGCATCTAATCGGGTTTTTAATTTTTTGTTTTTCTTTCAAGATATAAATCACACTCCATTTATCCATTTGATCACTGGTGTGGATAAGCTACATTTAGGCCTCTCTATTAAACGGGAATCCACTGCTTGCACACTGAATCAAAAACATAAACACTTAATCAATTCAATGCATAGGAGAAAATTAACTTGCATCAATTGGCTGACCTTAACAGAAATGTTTAACCATCTTGAAGATGTCGATGATTGTTTTTGGTATCCTGAAGGCGTTGTCGCTGCATACAATGAACATTGTGCACTTATTGAAAAAGGCGGTTAATGAATGGATAGTAATTAAAGAGTAACATATCTCCTCGTCGTGATAAAATTGTCTCATTGTTATTAAACTATCACCAAGATATTTAAATAATCGTCTTGAATAATCTTACCCCAGGCCCAGGTTTCATTCTGAAGAAAAAATCTTAAATAACTGATCATTGATTAATTGATTTCTAAGTTACTAATCTCACGGTCAACCTTCTTTTCCATATTCTCTTTAAATTCATTTTTAACTAAGTTAAAATTAAAGATTAACTGTCTCTATGAACTTATTGTCTACTATTTTCATTTCAAAGTGATTTTAGTAATTCATGTCAAGTGAATTCACTGAGTGATTATCACAATCAATTTATTAGAAGTGCCTCCATATTGAGCCATAAATAGTAGAGACAAACAAGCCTAATATTTTCATAGACATTTTGTTTCAAACCATTCATTCAATTCAAAGAGTAATAAGTCCATTTTCTCAACGTATTGACCATTCTTACTATTGACTTGTGTCTCCACCTGGTTGATCGGTGTGAACTAACTTTTTCGTATGAAAAATGTAAAAGATTAACTTTTTTCGCTCCTAATAATTTTTAATTTAATTAACTTTACCTGTGAATTTAAAATTAAATTTTGTGTTATTATTGTTCATTTCATCACAAGGATCAAGTTGATATCAAAATTATGATAGTTCAACAGTTACTTTAGTTGTTTTTGTTACTCTTAAAACTGAGCTATTATTGCGTCTTAATAACTTCAACCATTTTGTTTTTCTTGGTAAGTTTTGTTGGTAATTTGATACAACTTTCTTTTCTCTATCTCAGACTTATTCTCTGAAAAGATTGAAACTCTAACTTTATTTTCTCCTTTTTTTCATGAAAACCCTAATGAGTTAAACTATCCTTGGACCTGATTTTCACCCAAAAAAGAAACCAAAAAACACCCAAGGCCTTAGATGTCTTTCAAATTTAAACTTTAATCAAATTTAAACTTATCAAATTTAAACTTTTCAAATTCAAATTTAAACAATCTCACTGTTCAAAAACCAAGCTGATGAATCCAAGACAACAAGACACTTACGACTGGTATTTAATGAATGAAGAAAATATTGTAAACTAAAAATTTTCAATGAAATTGTAAAAATAATAGAAGCAAAAATTGTACAAACTGAGCGTCTAGCTCAGTGCCCACAAGGGCCACCCTCTTGGGTGCTAAATGCCTAATGCATTACCTCCGACCTTAGGAGGACAATAAATCGTAAGAGGTATCAACTGCTCTCTCTTGCTATTACTCTTTGATTCAATTGCTCACTTTGTTTTCGTTTCTCATCATCGTTAATTGTTTACAATTTAAGTTCTCTCCTTCTTTTTCTTTTAATACCAGATTAATATAAATCAGTCAACATTAAGCCTCTTCCAAGTTTCATCATCATGAATGGTTCCAATTTCCTCCGATCTACTAATCGTCTCAACAGGTTTGTTTTCATTTCTAATTTTAATTCTCAACAATTAACCGAAATTTTTAATATAACCATAATGGTTAAACCATTTCCCTATTTCTCATTTATCATGATACAATTAATTTCTCTTCAATTTCCCAAAATCTTTAAACCAACAATCAGCAAATTTCTTTGCATTTCTCTGCAATTAGTTAACTCGCATTAGATGTTATTTTCACTCTTAAGTCAAATTAATTATTCTTTCATTAGATTATCATAGATATAATCAAGGTACTTGTGTTTGATTATTAACTGATTTAAAAGATGTCAGTTGATAACAATTGAATTACTGGGATAATTTTTCTAATAAATCTGATACGATATTGGAATCAAAGTCTCGTTGTATGAGCCTCATAAATTTCTATGTCAAGATTACATTTAATGGACTTTAGTTCAACAATTATCTTTGTTGATAGTTTTGTAATTATTACCTTTCTCTTATTATTATTTGTTTCTCTCTCTCTCTCTCTCTCTCTTTATTATTGACAGTTTTACAAGAAATTATCCAACTAATGTTCAACGAGCAGTTCATCAAGCCGAATTATCAAAAATTCTGATCGCTAATCGAGGTGAAATCAGCTGTAGGATTGCAAGAACTGCTAAACGAATGGGACTATTAACAACTGCAGTTTACTCTAACATGGATAGAGATTCGATGCATGTTTACTTGGCTGATGAAGCAATTAACTTGGGAGATTCACCATCAGCTGATAGTTATCTTAATAAAGTTAAACTAATTGAAGCAGCTAAAAGATGCGGAGCTCAGGCAATTCATCCTGGTTATGGTTTTCTCTCTGAGAATCCTGAATTTGCTGATATGGTTAATTCATCTGGACTTATATTCATTGGTCCACCGGCATCAGCCATACGTGATATGGGAATTAAATCAATTGCCAAACATATTATGTCTCATGCTGGAGTACCGGTAATTCCTGGTTACCATGGGGAAGATCAAAGTGATCAATTATTACTATCAGAGGCTGAGAAAATTGGTTTCCCCATAATGATAAAAGCAATTAAAGGAGGTGGTGGTAAAGGAATGAGAATCTGTTTAGCTAAAGAGGATTTTATAACTCAACTTGAATCAGCGAGACGAGAATCACTTAAATCTTTGGTGATCAATCGGTTCTAATTGAAAAGTATGTTGCTAATCCTCGTCATGTTGAGGTACAGGTATTTGCCGATCAACATGGTGACTGTGTTTACCTGTTTGAGAGAGATTGTTCAGTCCAACGAAGACACCAGAAGATTATTGAAGAGGCACCAGGACCAGGAATCGACGATGAAACTCGAGCAGAATTGGGTAAAGCCGCTGTTCGAGCTGCTCAAGCGGTTAACTATGTTGGCGCAGGAACTGTTGAATTTATTTACGATCCTAAAGATGGTAAATTTTATTTCATGGAAATGAACACTCGAATTCAAGTTGAACATCCGGTTACTGAGATGATAACTCGAGTGGATCTGGTTGAATGGCAAATACGAGTAGCTCGTGGTGAGACTTTACCCAAATATCAAGAAGAGATTAAACTTCATGGACATTCAATGGAGGCCAGAATTTACGCTGAAGATCCTGAGAATAATTTTATGCCTGGAGCAGGTAAACTGGGGCAAATTAAGTTACCTGAACATGAAGAAAATGTAAGAATTGAAATGGGAGTTCGAAGTGGTGATGAAGTTTCCGTTCATTATGATCCAATGATCGCAAAACTTGTTGTTTGGGCTCCAGATCGAAATTCAGCTTTAATGAAACTTCGTTCATCGTTAAGTAAATTCAATTTATCGGGTTTGAAAACAAACATCAATTTCCTTCATCGTTTAGCATCACATCCAGAATTTGCTGCTGGTCGAGTTCACACCGATTTCATCAAAGAACAAGAGTCAACTTTATTTACTAAAACCGAATTACCTTCAAAGTTGATTAACATCACCGCCATCGGTGTATTTGCTTCATCAGCTGCATCATCGTCGATTTCATCTTTACCCACCAATGTGTTCAGTCCACTGGTGACCGATGCCTTCAGGTTACACCAAACGATGACCTCACAAAAAACATTCACTCTCCTTTACAATGATGAAAAATACTCTGCTGTGGTCAAGCAACATGGACCAAATGAATACTCAGTTTCACTTAATGGATCACCTTTTGTTACACTTGAGGCTAATTACGATTCATTGACCAACTCATTAAGGGTCAATGAAGATGGATTAACTCAGAATTACAAATTTCTTAAATCATCTTCAAGTCAGGTTGCCTTGTTCACTTCGGATAAAGGTGGTTACAATTTCGAGCTGGAAACTAAACCTCATTATCGGTCAACCGGATCAACTGAATCTTCCGATGGAGCTGCTGGTGTTGTCGCTCCAATGCCCGGTGTTATCGAGAAAATTTTGGTCTCCGAAGGTGATACAGTCGAAACGGGAACACCGTTGGTCGTTATGATGGCTATGAAAATGGAATATATAATTAAAGCAAAGGTCAAATCGAAAGTGGAAAGGATCATGTTCAAAGCGGGTGAAAATGTTCAAAAAGGTTCACGATTAGTTAAATTGGTGAATCTAGACGATAATCAATGATGAGGTTGATTAATTGTGAAAAACTATTCTACCCAAATGAACTTTTCATTAATTAATTTCTATCAATTTATATTTTTGGTGATTTAAAAACTGGCTAACGGATTAATAGCTTTCTTTTCTTTCAACAATCTGATCATAAATCAGAGCAAAAAGATTTAATCAAATTAGAAAACTATATTGTCATTGGAAAAGCTTTTTCGTTAATTATCAGCTGATTCCAAATTTTTTTTCTCAGGGGAAATCAATGATTATGATTTAACTATGAATCAAAATCACGTAAAAAATATATAAACAAATTGGTAGAAGCAACAATTTTTATAATACTTAGCACAATTAACTTGCTAATTAATTGTTTTTCTTTGTTTACTAAATACAAATTGAAATTAATATTTAATTTAAATATTTTTTCAACAACAAATTCAATTATGATTACCAAATAATCAATTTTGTTATCAAAACAACAATTGAATTAAATCGTTTTTTTGTCAAGACAAACATTGATCTTAATCGTAAAGGTTAAATCAATTGTGTATCATGATCACATTTTCTTGGTTAATTGTGATACAGTTAATTGTATCTCTATTTATAATAATACTGTTTGATTGCACCATTGATAAGTTATGAAAGATAACCTCGAGGAATCAACGTTAGATTGGGCTGATTAAATTGTTTGATTGTCGATTTTAATTGAATCTTGTTTAATTTTCCAAGTGGTCTCGGAATTAGATCATTTCGTAAATGATTAGACAATCTTTCCCATTCTTTAAATTTATCAGGATTATTGTTGAGTGAATTAATATTATCTTCAATTTCCTCGATATCATCAATAACAAACTCATCGTAAATTGTTTTCATTGGTTGATTAGCAGCACTTTTTGTTAATTGTTGTTGTTGTTTTTCATCAATTGGATCCTTGTCGTTGTCAGATTGATCTTTGATCCACTTCCATCATCATCGTTACATTTTAATTTAATCAACGATGAATTTTGATTACATAGAGGACAACCTAGGTTACGATTATCAATCGATAAACAATCAACATGGTAAGAATGACATTGGAAGATAATTAAACTCTCACTGGAGGAATTACAATTCCCGTTACAAAGTCCACATTTACTGTTACTTTTTATGATGAAACCTTTTTTAGAAAGGTAAACATAATTTGACAATGAACGATACAATTCACTTTTAATTGTATCATTATAAGCGGTCAACAAACTGGCCTCGTAATTGTATGCATCCAACATGGCGGTTAACAGGTAACGAATCTTTGAAAATTGTCCAATCGATTCACTATCGGTAATTGATGATTCAAGAATCCATGTTAATAGTGTTAACATTGAAATATAACCCATCATATTGTTGAACATGTTATTGCACAGGTCGATTGAAAATGAACGGGATTCGGGATAAAGTTTGTCCGTTATCTCGTGGAAAGAGGTCACTCTTTGGAGAAGAGGATACCAGAGGAATTCCCGATTCTCTGGATTGTCCAATTTTTCCGAACATCGTTGAGCAAATTGAATTAAATTCTCAAACTGTGAGAATAACTTTTTAAAAAGTTGTTCATCTTTCAATTGATCACTTGTCTCATCATTATTGATTAGGATTAAATCTTTGTCTAATTTATCCAATAGTAAATCCAATGCTTCGGTGAATTTATCTTCTTTCTCATATAAAATGGCTTTAGCTTGTTGATTATCCGATTTGGTACATATTTGAAGAGCCACTTTCGGCCGATAAGTTGAAGTTGATTGCAAGAAACGGGCAGCTTCATCTGGTTCATATTTACAAAGTAATTCAATGTATCTCTCATGGATCCAAGGTTCAAATAGAATTGAACATTTAGATATTAACGGTGAATCTTTGACAGACCAATTAGTTGACTGATCACAATCAATTAAACATTTTAAAACTCTCATTAGATCGAGCGGCTTTGATTCAAGCGAATTAAGAAGATTTTCTAAATCATTTGTTGGAATGAAATAATCTAAAAGTAATTTTGTCGACAAACTTGAATTAATCTCGATCAATTTTCCAATATTATTCCAAATACATTTTAAGAATTGAATCTTTTCCTCGTTTAAACACATAACCCGTTCAATAAGAGTAAACACTTGATTCTAAATGAGAAAAGAAAGAAAAGAAATTAAAAACTATTCAACAATTAAAAGTTAACGAATTGACAATCAAACAATTTACCTTTAAAAATTGATCAGACAAATAGCAAGTTAATAGCTGAGGATATTGTTTACGTTGCCAGTAAATGTATTCACAAACTTGAAAGCTACACAATTAAGATATGTAATAATAATTAGTAAATTTGTCTTCTTCAAATCGATTGAAAATTAAACTAACAATTTAGCCTTTTCAGCGGAAATTAAAATACGATCAATCATAAGAGAATTAACTTTATCCGAAGTAACTAATTGCATTAACGCTTGTTGACGCTCTTCAATATCACTTTGATCCGAAGTCTCTGTTAAAGATTCAACAATCTAATTGGGAGGAAAGAAAATCAATTGATTAAAAGTTTTACACAATTAAAGTTAGCAACAATTTAGAATAACAATTTTACCTGGTTAACTAATTCATCGCTCATTTTAATGTAACTTCTCGGCTTGGCTATCATTCTTGCCAAGAAGATGAACAATGAAGCGATTTGAGTTGAAGTAAATCCACAACTTTCCATCATCACATGAATTAAAACCTCGGTTAAGGTTAATCCTTCAACGCTGTTGCAAGAGAAATTATATAATTGTAAATAATTAACACAATTAGAGAGATAGAAGACAAAATTTACCCATCGAATTCATCTTTGTCCATGGCCAAGGCTAGAACATTGAGAAAATCTTTACCATCGAAAAGGAGTAAAGCTTTGAGATTAGGATAAAATGTACAATCCAAAATTCCGTTATCATGATTATCTGAATCCGGTGGATTTTTAAATCGTATGAGAAGTTTAATTGTTTCCTGTCGAACTTGAGTAGATAAACTTTCAGGAATATCCGAACCACCATGAAACTTTCGTCCAGTTAAACAGCAACTGATATAAAGTAAAATCGTATTACCCAGATCGATATCATCTTTGGTTAAAATTTCATTGTTCAACAATTTAGATGAAATTAGTTTTAACAACAATTCCAATGGTGTAGTATAATCATTGAATGCTTCATTGTAGATGTAAATTAATCCTCGGTGTAGATTATGACTACGGCAAATTGTTGTTACTTGGTGAATATCAAGACAATCAATTTTAAGGCAAATTATTAATGATTCAAGGGAATTGAAACTTTTCCTCTTCTCATATAAGTTGACCAAATCTTTAGCTATCACCGGTGGAATTGAATTCAATGATCCTTTGATTATGTGGCCTTTCAATGAATCAAGATAGATTTGACTAGTTACTGTATTGTGTTTACATCTTTCATAAATTATTTCCCATAAGATATTTGGTCTATCAATTGAAAGAGCTGCTTGAATGGTTGATGAAATGGATGATGATAATGACTTATATCCGATTGGAATGGTATAATTAAAAGGTAATGATGGATTGATTAGATAATTTAAATACTCGTCGATAAGTGAGATGATTTTATCTGCTATGGTTGATTTCCGTTCATTACGAGATCCAATTAAACCGATGATTGATTCAGCTTCACCCTTGTAAATGGATAAAGATAAATTCAAGGCTTGAGAATAATTTTCCTCTGAAATAAACCAATCGATTCTGCTATCCCATGGACGTAATGAGTACATGACCATTAATTCACGACCAAGTAATAACAATTGATTAACTGAGATGTGTGATAATGATGAATTAGATGAGGTGACTATCGTTGAATTGTAACAAGCTTGAGTACCAGCAGCGGCCATGGCCCCACTGACCTGTCCATCGATGTGAAAACCAGTAAAAAATTGAGTAGAAAAGGTTAAATCAACTGGACTTATGTCAATATTACTAATCTCATTTCCCGATTTAATGTCAATCACATGAAGACGAAAATATTTATCCAGAGTTGCAATTATTTTCGATGTAAACCAAAACATGTTGATTAAAGTGTAACTTAAATTAAATCGACGTAAAAAAATGAATGATAATTCGCGTCCATTTTTCACAGAAACCTAAAGAAAAGTTAATTGTGATAATTAGAGCAAAAAAAAGATGATTACAGATGATGGATGAGTAAAAATTAACCTGATAGATGCTGAAAATTTGACCTCTTCCGAAAGCTAGAACGGGATCTAGAACTCGATCATTGGTGTTAGTTTGAATAGAGACAAATTTCCAATTTATTATTGGAGGAGATTTAGGATCAGCCTGATAGAAAATGGGAAATATGAAAAAAAAGAATTAAAATCTAAACTGATAATCAATTAATTGTTTGAGATCAGACCTCAAGAGGATGATAGAAATGCACATTCGGTGAGGGTAAAAGTGAGATGACGATGATTTTGGTGACAGTCGCTAATGAGATGAGACAGAGATTGTTAAGGAAAGAGAATCGATGTTGAAGGCTCGTTGGAATGGTCAGTGTATCGAAATGAAGAACTTCTCCTCGACTGTAGAAACGAAAAAGAAAATTTTCTACATTAGAATAAAAGAGAGATAAACAGAATATATCGAACTGAATCAGTAATACCTTCCAGAGAAAATGCAAATTGGTTCAAGTGATTTGGACCTTTTTCGAACCCATACCTGGAAAACTGAACCTCCAGTATTACTGAAAACCATCAAATCAGGTTCTGAGGTGAACTAAAGGAAGAATCAGAATTGGAATATAAAAATTGAATGAGAAAATAACCGAAAATGAATTGAAGAAAACGACGTATAATTGTTAACTGGAAAGTTATCGGAACCTTAAGAAGTAGCGGTGTCGCATAATTGACATCTTGACCCGAAAATAACGAGATGATTTGACCGTTTTCGAGACTCCAGAGTCCAAGAGATCCTTTTGAATAGCCGGTAACTAATCGGGTTGAATCATAACGAATCGCAATACTGGTGACAGAATCGGTTAGACCTTCTTTACGTAAACACCATCTCATCACTTGTTGTTTATCTGTAGGTTGATAAAGTAAATTGAATAAGATAATTAGTCTTCTTATCAATGATCATTGATTAAATTGTCAATTTTACCGAAACAGAAAACGACACCATGAGCTGTTCCAACGGCAATATAAACTTGACTAACTGTTAAACATGTCGCTACACCAGCATCAGTTTTTTGAACGTAAGCAGCTCTTAATTGTGACGATATTGACCTTAGAGTGGTCACTTTAATGGTGTCATCTTGGTCAAGATTTTCACCTTTCCCTTTATTATTTGAACAATCATCTAGATCCTTGACAGTTTCACTATCCGTGTCTGTATCCTGTCCAGAGTTACCATTTTGAATGTCAATAATATCATCAGGGGGTAGATTACTATCCTAAAAATTAGTTAACAGAAAAAAATAACAATTGAAAAGGACATTACAATGACAATTACAACCATTAACTGTAACAAATTAAGCAACAGAAACAATTGATTTTCAACTTACCTGACTAATGATACTCCGACTTGGAGATTGAGTTACTTGTGAGGTAGAGGAATGGTCAAGATAACCAAGCTGGATAAATGAAACAAACAATGAATAAGAAAACAATAAAAATAAAAATTTAAATAAATCCAAATGTTAATTGTAAACCTAATTGTCTAATTAATTGACTTACGTCATTGTCAAGAGATCCGTCAACAGATGAGTTGATTTGATCAGCAGCAATCATCAGTTTCTTAAGATTAACCACAATTTAGATAATCACAGGATATTGAGAGGTTAAAAAGGACTAGTTAACATAAATTAAAATAGAAAATTTAATTTAATCATAATTAACGAGGAGAAAATTAAGAAAACCCAATCAGTTATCATATGTTTGTTTCCATTTGTTTTGGTTTATCAAAAGTCTGAGAATGAAAAAATTGGAAACGCGCGAAAATCAAAATAATCGAGAAAAAAAAATCTAATCAAGTTTAATTTTTGTTAATCGAATTAAAAAAAAATACTCTAATCAATCACTTGATTAATTCATTTAATTACTTATGGAAATTAGAAAACGAAAATATTTTCATCAACATTCAATTCATTTAATTGATTTTTCTTTTAGATTATAAAGTTTTACATGAATGTTGAGTTTCCAAATGATTGATTAACTGAACAATCAATAATCAATTGTAAGAGAGAAACAAAAAAAATGGGAAACAATTTGTTTATTGTCGATTGTACAAAGAGAAGGGGACAAGAGAAAAGTTTGATTAGTTTAATTAGTGCAATTAGAAAATCGACCAAAATCATTTTCGACCAGGATTGACCTGAAGTTCATTTTCGAGGTCGTAAGATTGGATCGGCCAATGGAGACTAATGAACAGGACATAGACCCAAGAGCCGATGATTCCGCCAATATGAGTAGCGACAATTGGAACCCAGAAGTAATTATAACTACGAACTCTGTTAATTGTTTGGAGAAGGAAAAAAAATTATTACAACTAAAATTTTTCTGCAATTAGATCCTAACGGAACAGTGATAATAATTATAAGTGATTAAATATTGGTGAACACTTTGGTTATTCAATTAGACTAATTCAGTAATTATAAAGATCAGTTAATCATGAGTGGTGAGTGATTAGACTCATGGTAATTAATATTGAGAAGTTTGTTTTTTGATTGACAGGTTTGATTGTTGACACTTCAGGAAATAATGATGTGTAATAATTAAAATTAACCTAAGTTATTAAGTATATTAGCTGATTATTATTGCTGTTTAGTAAGTTGATTGATTAATTGTTAATAATGTTTACCTCTCATGATTAAGAAACTTAATCATAACACTTACTTTATTAGTTGTTAATTATTTCACAATTATAAGATCAGAGAGACTAATCTGTTAATTGCAATTAAATAATAATTATACCATTGATTGTGATCATAGTCAATTCTTAGGCTAATTGTTAGGTGTTAATTTCAGGTAAATATTAGTTAAATAAATTAATTGCAATCAAAGAATCAGTTTTTCATTCTTAATAGTGATTAAATAAATTATCTAGGTCTTGGTTGGTGATAATCGTTGTCTTAATTGTTTTAATCTTGAACGCTAATTGTTAATCAGGTCAATAATTAATATCGACGATGAAAAAAAAAGATATACAGTCAGAAAAATTAATTAATTGTTATCCCAAATATTATATTACAAGGTTAATATCAAGTAAGTTTGATTTGTAATTAACTGAAAGCCTAAGCAATTAACCATCACAATTATCATCTCAAGAGGTTGCAAAAAAAAGGAAGTAAATTAAATGTTGGAATATAATTAATGATTAATAATCAATGGTGAAAATAATCAGGAAGAAATCAAAATCAGAAGTAAATTGTATTAACGATTGATGAGAATCTTTTAATCAGTTTGTGCAGTGAACACAATTTAACCTAAATTGTTGTCTATTAATTGACTTGCTCTCTATTTTTTTCCGATAATCATTCAATAGACAATAATGATTAGGTTAAAATTGGATAGAAAATTAAAACTTACGAGAAAACTTCACTTCCATAGCCAACGAATGAAGATAAAATTCTAGGACCTAAATCACGAGCTGGATTAACTGGAGCACCACAATTGTAGCCGAAAGCAAAAGCCATCAGGGTCAAATCGGCAACACCAATGGCCAACGGGATTAGACCCTTTGGACAGGCCATGTTACGATCATCGGTAATCGCTTGGATCAATAGGAGGAAAAATCCAACACAAACAACCTGATCAACCAATCAATAAGCATTTCGATTAATCATTGAATAATACAATCTAATCGTAATGTGACCTTACCTGATCAAGGAAACAGGTACCAATGGACACGTTCTCATTAGGTAGAGTGCCGAAAATACCTGCTGTCCCATTAGGTCCTAGTGTTTGTAGTGTGTCACCGAAATGAGCTTTAATTGCATCAGAATAGACCAGGTAAGTTATTAGAGCACCAAAGAAAGCACCAATGTATTGAGCGGCAAAATAATAAGGTACTTTTAACCAGGACAATTTACCGATTGCAGCCATTCCCAAAGTAACTGCTGGATTAACATGTCCACCTATTGAGATCAATTGATTGATTAAAGATTAAAGTTTAACTTTGGTGGAAACAAAAAGGTTAATTGTATCATTTGTAAATCAACACTTGCAATTGATTGACGATCAGTTGATTTTCTTGATCTATTTCCAATTCCTGGTTTTATGACATTTTCACATTTTGACAATTTTTTTGACTGTTAATTAATCATTACAGTTAATTAATTACCTGAGACACCTCCACATACATAAATAGCTGCAGTCAAGGCAAGACCCCAGCCCCAAGGGCCGATGGCTCCGGTTACCGCTCCGCTTTTGGACACTGTTGTTGACGCATTGACGGAACATCCAATCGTCTATTGAAAATATGAGATGAGATGATTAAAGACAAGACAATCAATAAATTATCATCAGAAACAAACTCAATTCATATTACTGGGATGAAGGTTAATGATCATGCTAATCAAATGATTCTAATCAATTAATTCAATCCAAGTGTTAACTTTTCCCGCTCTTTTGGTTTCTTGCCAAAAATTCAATTATTCAATAAGCTTTGCCTTCTTTGGGATCACCTTAATCTTCAGATTAGTAACTGAGATTATCTTAGCTTTGGATTACATAAAAGACTCATTGTCAATTAAGTTAATTAAATTTCAATCAACACGAGAAAGAAAAAAAAATCAATTCATCTAATACACTTTTCTATAAGTTAATCAACTTGATTGATTTATTATTAACTCTCATTGGATTTTAATCCATAATTAACTTTACGTCTTAATTTTAATCTGTTCTAGTATTTTAATTATCTCAAAATCGATTGACTTTAATTGCAATTAACAATAGATTTTCATTTAGATTCTTGATTTTTTAATCAACTCTCAAGATCAAGTGATTTTTTTTTAGTCTATGCGTCAATCAGTTTAATTGTTGTCAATTTAGTTTATTGATCAGACAAATTTGTTATTAAATTGCTTTATATTTATATAAATAATTGACTGATTGTGTTAATTAATCAAAAATCTGGAAACTTTTTTTTTGTTTCCAACAATTGATCTCGTTTTAATCAATCGTTTGAGACTTGATTTGATTGTGTTTTAATTGTTACATGTAATTGCGGAAACTATTGTAAAGGATAATCACAACAATCAAAATTGTTGATGATCAAATGTTGATTAGACAATTTTATTCAGAGAAATGATCAGCCAAATGATTAATATTAAAACAATTCACTGATTAATCTGATTTATTTACCTGATAGTTTTGATTGAATTAGATTAACATTTAAACTGTTATATAAAAATAGATTGCTAATTGTAACAATCTATGATAATCATAAGAATATTAAATTACTTCATTTAAATTGTCAATCTAATTGATTTTGACCGATCAGAAAGTGATTTGAATATCGATTATAATCAGAAAATCAATTCTAATCAAATTAGAAATCAAAGCAATACACGACAATTAAGTTAATCATTACAAGAGGAAAAAAAATTAGAGAAATGAACATGAGATGATTGTAATTAACTTCCAACGATAGAATTAAATTAGGAAAATATTAACTTACCGTTAGAACAAAAGTTCCGAGAAGTTCAGCAAGAAATTCCCTGATAATTGTACTTTCAATTCGTAAATTAACCATGATGATTATGAACAATTAGAACTGAAAATTAATGAACAATCAAACAAAATGATTAAAATAAACACAGAAAAAAAAGAGAAACCAAACCTTCAAATATGAAGAAAATTAAATGAAAAGTGATGATGATGATGATCGGTGGGTAAATGAATATACTAACTCCATTGTAGTATATGAAGGAGGAGAGGAAGATGATGATAGGGATGATAAGAGTGAGAGGTTGCCATTTAAAAGCATAGCTCACTATCTCATCATCTTCATCATCATTATCATCTCGACTCCTATTTTTGTTGATTAAGGTTTAAAAGTGAGTGTTTAGTTGAGGTGGATGCTAGAATCTGGTTAAATTGGGATGAGTTAATTGTTTCTTTATTTCTTAAGATGATGATAATACTAATGATGATGATGAGGATGACAAAAAATTAGCAAGAAAATGGAAGAGAGAGAGAGAGAGAGAGAGAGAGAGAGATCGAGTGAGTCTATGGTAATATTAGTATGATGTTATTCTTGGTTCTTTTCAATTGAATTTCCTTCCAACCTTAACTTTGTTATTCTAATTAAACTTTGTTATTTTTAATTCTTTGAAATTTTAGGTTAAAATTAATTTTTCGTTGTAACAATTAACTTGAGTGTAACTTGAACTTATATAATTGTTACCATGATTTAACTTTATTCAGTTAATTTGTGAATATACTTATGTGTTCATAGCCAAGGTTTTTCATTTCTTTCTGTTTGTTTGTTAGTTAATTAGTCAACTTGATTAATTCAATTAGACTTTTCCATGTTAATTGTTATATATATTTCTTTTTATTAAATAGTTAATTGATTGTGAATACACACTTGGAACAGCAGGTAAAGGTGTGTGTGTGTGTGTGTGTATGTGAAACAGAAAATTGTTGTTTAATTGTTGATTAAATATGTTTCAGTTATCATGAAAATAACAATTAAAATGATATTGGGATTAAATTGTTTCCCTAATTTCTTACATTCAACGATTAAGAGAGTTGTAATTTCTCATTGATTTAAATACTTAAATTGATACACAAACATGATGTGTATTAATTGTTTTTGGATTGAATTGAGGGAAATTACAATTTAAACAAAGGAATTAACAGAATTAGTTGATTTGAATTGTTGTTTTTTGGCTTCCCGGTGAAATAAATTGTCTCTAATTTTGGATTAAAATAAAATACAGAGATTTTAACAATTTAGATTTTGTTTCTTTGCAAACTAAAGGAGGATTTGTTATAGTTTTGTTTCGTGGTCCATGACGGGTGAGCATTTGAGTTAATGGCGGACAATGGACTGAGATCCTGAACGAAAGTTCATCACGTTAATCGATTTGTCCAGAGCGATATAAAGGTAGCAAGGGTCAAAATCAAGTGAATAAACTGGACTATTTTCACATCGACCGTAATACATTTGGACACATTGTTTGGCCTTCCGTTTATCCCATAAACGGACAACACCATAACGACATGTACCCGAAAGCATAGTAACCCAATGGTCAGTGGCTAGACAATAGATTGCTGAATCATGGGGATCTTCCCATTTAAGTGAACACTTTCCACCAGGACATCGAAGATCCCATAAACGGATAAGTGTATCATAACCACAGGAAAGTAAAGTATTATAATCTTCCCATTGTATTCCCAGAACTCCGGCCCCATGACGATGTTCATCATTAAGTGAACAGATTAAACGATTATCCATTAAATCGTAAAGCCAAATTGGTCTTTTAGTTGTACATCCAGCTGACCCGATCGCTGCCCAGCCTCGATCTTCACTACAAGACACTGATAAAACCCGATCACCGATAAATATAGACTGTGAAAATAGTAATGAACAACTGTAACCATGACTGTTATTTGGATCATCATCATCATCGGTACCAATACTGTTCTGATCTCCTTCAAATCCTTCATAATTAAGCTTCCATATCTTTGCGTGAAGATCCTTTGATCCGGTTATCAAAAATTTTGAATGAAGACAATCAATTGAATTAATTACAGAAGCATGAGCCTTGTACCGGGTCGATAATAAAGATCCTGAATGCTTATTCCATACGGCCAGAGTTCCGTCTAAACTTCCGGTGGCAATGAAATTATTGGTAACCTTAAATTTAAGTATATCTTCTTGGTGACATTTCAATTTCATCGTAGGTTTTGTCTTAATACGGCCATCTTTAAATCGCTGAAATTTACACAAAGTGTTTCCTCGAGTTAACCATAGATTATTTGAGTCAATCGATAAACATGGAATCAATCTAATTGTGAAAAGAAAAGAGAAACATAATTAATAATAATAATAATAATCGGACAAATTGTACGAAAAACTAATCTCATAATTGACTAAATTAATTATGATGATGATGATGAAAGAATTGAGATAATTTTTGAATTCTAATTGAACATAAAACTTGATATAAATTAATCATTAGCCGGATGTAGTAGCATTATCATGATAATTATCATGATAATTACAAAATAATAAACTGAATTATAACAACAATACAGTTTAAATCTTTATTGTTCATCATTTACAAAAAATTAACTTGACGGAAGTTACCGGAGTCTCTCTCCAGGTTATATATATAATGTGTGTGTGTGATCAAGTCCAGTAAATAGTATAAATCATTCACATTATTTGAATGAATTAAAGGTTGATTATCAAGATGAGTTAATTAAGAGGTTTTCAGGTAAAAGGTTAAGACAAGTTTCTCACGTTGTTGATGGTAAATGAGAAAACAAACAAAAAAAACTCGCGCGCATTTTCATGTTAATCACTTGTCACGCCCGTAATCGTGTTTCAAATGTACTCCAAAATAAAAGGTAACAAGAGTGAGGTGAGTGAGATGGATGAGAGGGGGGAGCTGATGTACAGAAAAGAGTCAAAAGATCAACCAAGCGAAAGGCCATTTGCCGTAACAAACCATTGACGGTAACGTTAAAACAAGAACGTTAATAAGTTATCGTTTTGATGATATCAATCCTGGACCCTCAATTCCCACTGTGTATCTTAATTGTTGTTCAATTATATCAATTTTAAGTGTCGTTGTCTAATCAGTTTTATAATTGTAATTGAAATAATTTGTAAATTGAAAGTGATTAAGGAAACAACAAACGTTATATTTGAATATTTTGTGTTTCGAAAACGATAATACTTTGGAAATGCCAAAATTAAGTGTCATGTCGTATTATTGTTTCGTTCATTTGTTAATTGTTATAACGATAATTAAATTATCCTCGTGTTTTCCCAGTGGTGCTCCGGCTGATGCTTGTGAAAATTTAACACCTCGACACACAGGGACAACCCCGATAACGGAAAATTCACCTTACACCTTGAAAGCGATCACTGGTAACTTTGAATATTCCTCATCAACTGACCAGGGAATCAAAGGTAATCATTGATTATTTTTTATACAATCATACGAATTGAGAGATAATTTAATCAAAATTGGATTGATTTAGATGGAGAGCAGTAGACAAATGTAAACAATTAGAAAAAGTATCTCTCTGTGTGCGATTGATAAATCAGCAAGAAAATTTAATTTGATTAATCAGGAGATTGAAGTTGTGAAAAAAAAGTTGAAAATACAGTTAATCCAATTTAAATTGACAATTGATGACAATTGGTCATTTAATATTTAATAATAGCCAGTTAATCATGTGGAGAATTAATCTCAATCGATTGATTTTTGTGATTCCATCAAAATTAATCATTTGATGCACTCAACTAAACTGTCACGCTAATTGAATCATCATTATGATGATTAACAAATTGTTTTTTTTTTCTCACTTTAACAATCAAATCTTAATTGTTGCACTTGACAATCTAATTAAATATCTGATCAATCATAAATCTCTACAGTTCGTATCGATGGTCCACCTTTCAGAGGCTTTTTCGTCATCGCAGTTGACGCTAAGACTGGAGAGCGAGTTGGTAAATGGGCTCAATTAAAAGGTAAGTTAATCAATTAGTGGGGAAAAAAGTTTTACAATTAAAAAACTACTAAGCCTGTAAATCAAATCAAGAGGAACAATTTAATTAACAATTAGGTTTAGAGTAAAGTGAAAAAGTTTACTAATCATTGTGAACATCATCATTGACTTTTCTCAAGTTAAACTTGAAAGAAAAAGTTTTTTAGATTATTACAATTAATCAACTCTTTTCTCTCTCTCTCTCTCTCTCTAACATTTAATTGTCACAATTAACGAAAACAATAGTAAACAATAATTTACTTCTCTTAAACGACTGAGGTCATTTTCTTCCGGTCAATCGTTTAACTTATTGTGGTCATCACTTTGTTTTCTTTTAATTGTAACAATTAAAAGGCTTAAAATTAAACAGAATAATATTAAATTAACTGATTACCATTTAATTAGGGTTATCATTGAGTATGAATGTTAGTTAATTAATTGTGAGGAAGAAGAAGAAGAAAAAAGTTTACAGGTAGATGTAATGTTCACTTAATTGTCTCACTAACAAACTCAACAATTAGCAAATTAACACAAAACCTAAAGGTAAGCCAAAATCAAGGGTTCAAATCAATAACTTGATCATGACGATGATTAGGAAAATAATTAATAGTTAAACAAAATCACAATCAGTATTTAAAGTACATGAAAACATTAGTATAGCTTTAAGCATATGAACTTAATAGCGATCAACTAATCATAATGGTTAATTGTAACCCCAAACTGATTACAATTTAGAAACAATAATAATACATATTGATCATTGATTGTGATCAAGTGGGAAGATTATGATTACAATATGATTATCATTATCAACTAATTAGCTTAAGAAATCATATTAACCATTTGAAAGTGATTATTTTGTCTGATTGTTTCAATAGCAATTAAATAATCCGCAATGATTACTTTTCAAATGTATCAATATGGAAGGCAAATCAATTCTAATCAAAAGGCGATTTGTGCAAATGATTTAAATCACTTTTCTAAAAATAAATTAATTTGATGGTTTAACTTAATTGTTCCAGGAACCAACACAATCGATGCTTGTTCAGGTATAACTCATGGTGATAATAAGCGGAAAAAATCAGCGACTCTCCTTTGGATTCCCCCTGAAAAAGGTTCTGGTGGAATTAGTTTCATGTAAGTAATTAATTAACCAAAGTAATTAGGTCAATAATTAGTCATCAAATTGGCTAACAATTTAGATGTTTACAAAACAGTAAAACTTTGCACTTGAACCATTTTGGCAATTGTAAGATTAGTTCATGTAAATGTTTAATTTTTATAGTACAAATATTATTACATTCATTGATTAATTCTTACAACAATCAACTAATTACTGATTAACTGATCTGGTTGATTGCTTTGAGATTTACACCATGTCCATGTCCGAGATTTGATTTGTAAAAATCAGATCACCAAACAATGTGAACATACAAAACCTTGACAATCAAGGATTTAAATCATTGGTTAAGGTTAATTGTGACAAAAATTTTTACTAACTTGATCAGTTAATTGTTTATCATTATAATCTTGATAATTAATTTAATTTCTCTCCCTTTTATAAATACAGAGCTACTGTTGTTAAATCATTTTCTGAATATTATACACCAATTACATCTGAAGCTGATAAAAAATGAAATTCTTAATTGTGATCAAGTTAAATTGGTTAATTTTTCAACAATTAAGAAATAACATTTTCCTGATTTTTTTGTTACTCGTTCATCTTTCAATTGATTAATTACACTATTATATTGACAGTACATACTCACAAAGAAATTAACTCTTAATTGTAATAATTGTACCATAATAATCAAATTTTTAATGTTAATCTTTGATTTATATAATAAATATTGGCTCAAAATCATTTGCTATTAAATTGCTGGTTAACAATTTATTGATTTTCTTATGTAAAAACTACAAATTATGTAAATTGATTAACATAATCATTTAATTTTTATGAGAATGAGGTGAAATTGTAAATGTCACAATTTAATTTGTTTGAAAAAAAGTTGAATGGCTAATTAGATTACGGTGAGTAAATTAACATCCCTTACAATCAAAATAATTATATAAAACTTTACTGTAATTGTGATTAACACAATCAAAGTATTAATCAAACATATTTATTGTAAACAAAGTTTACAAATTTTCATCTCAGATTAATTTGATAATCAAATAATAATATTAATCAAAGTAAATCAATTCAATTAAACTGAAAGGTCACCATTAATATTGATTGTCAGCGTTGATTATGAGTGCTCACGCATTTTAATTAGCTGGACATTAAAATTAATTAATGGTTTATTACCTTAATTTCTGGTTAAAGGTAATTAATTACAATCGACTTGTTTGTTATTTAATAGCAAACAATCAAATAGAAGGAGAGTTAATGTATTAGTTTAACACACAAAAAAAACGCAATTTAGATATAAAATTGAATAGAAAATGATGTTCAACTGATTGTATATTAATTGTCACTTCGTTTTAAATTGTCAGTCAGACAATCAACTTCTTGTAATTTGCCAATATAATAATTATAATCATTTCCTTTAGAAAATAGTATTAGAAAAGATATAGAATAAAGATAAATGGAGTTTGTAAGATAAAAAGGAAATGGAATTGAAAGAGAAAATGGAAACCTGGTTAGATTGTCAACAATTGATTATAATAAATACTGAATATATAGATAATTATCATCATCATCATCATCATCATAAGAGAGTAATTAATGATTATGGTTAATTGGTGGTTATGATAGATGTTTAAATAGTTGATTAAATGACTTACGGTTTCTTGTTTTGAATGAGAATTGTTTCTTGGAAAATACCCTTTTTCCAGCGAGATTCAATTGCACATTTATTCAAATTGGTAAGATCAACAATTGACTTTGATGAGAATTTATTAGATTGACAATTAGTAGCCAGTGCGTGTTGAGCTTTCAATCGCCAAACGTAATCATCATTGACTAGAGAATATAATCTACTGCAGGTACCAGACAAAGCTAAAGAAAAAAAAAATGAAAAGAAAAGACAATGTATCAGATACGAAAAATTCAGAGTATATGAATGAATAAATATTGTAGAGAAATTAATTTCTGAAAGTAAATTGTTTACTCTCAGAATTTCTCATCTTCGAATCCCAATTTACCCAAAAGTGTTTGGCTATTACAATATGTAAGGATACGATGGATTATTTCAACTGGTAACCATTCAAGGGAAATTTTGTTTGACGATGACGACAACGATGATGATGATGATGATGATGAATTATCTTGGTGACTATCAAATGGTTTAACCAATACTTGTGATTCTCGAGTCTCATTTGTCTCATTTTTCCATCATTTTGTAAATTAAACCAGTCATTGTTGTACAATTTTGATGATGATGAATGATATCTAACAGGTTCAATGCTTCTTGTACGATGCTTGTTAAATAGATCCATTGGAGCCATTTTAAATGGTAATCAATAAATTTTAAAGGTGACAATAAAGGTGTTACGGTTGACGATGATGATGATGGTGACAATTTATAATAATCAGGTAATAATGATGATAAAGATGGAGACTGAGAATATGATTGTAATAAAAATTTTGGTAAAACAAAAACGGGATCAAAATTAACCAAGGTTCTTGTATTAATTAGATTATATTGAGATCCACTTTGTTTATAAATCAACCTTGGAATACAAGAGATATCAAATGATGACGAATTGTTGTAAGATTGTATTCTGTTTAATCTCATGATTAATTAAACAATTTCCACGCAAGAATATGATTTAAAAGTTAAAAAGAAAAGGTTATTAAACACATTTTGATAAAAATTTAATTTCTAAAAGACACCAACAATCAAATTAATTAATCAATGGAAAAGACAAAATAAAAACAAATCATTTCTGTTCACTTAAAAGAAGCAAAAAAAAACAGAGAAAATTTTTGTTCTTTTCTAAAAAACTAGATGGCGCTGGTTTCGAAACTTGTATAACTTAAGCTTCCAAAAAATTTCATCAAAGAAAATTTGAAAAAGTAAATGATGTTTACACTTTTGATTATGAATTGTTTTTGATTAATTCGGTTAATTAACCTTGATCGACCTTAAATTATTTAAATTATTATTAATCTTTTGGTTTTTGCTTCAGTGTTACAATTGTATCAGTTGTTTACAACAATTAATGTTCTCATGTTTTTCTAAATTAAAGTGATTTGTGATTTTCTATTGGTTGGGTTGGTTGGGTTTTTGGAGAATTGTTTTTATTTTATTTTATTTTATTTTATTCTATTCTTTTTCTCCGTTTTTTTTTCTTCTCTTCTCATAAGTGATAGTGTGGTGGTGTGGTGGTAATGGCAGGATGCAAGTCAAAGAAGCGTCTAGTTCCTGCAATATCAGCTTGGCTTTTACTTCTTACCTGTACTACCCTGTTTTTCATATTTCCATGTCAATATCTTCAAAATACATATTCAATCTCAATAACAATTGTCCAAGCAATTATATCCCTTTTTGTGATTACTAATTTTTCTTATGCCACCTTTATGGATCCAGGTATTATACCTAAAGCTAGTCCAGATGAGGATGATGATCTACGAGCTCCCCTATTTAAATCGGTTGATATAAATGGTTTAAATATTCGTATGAAATGGTGTTGTACCTGTCAATTTTATCGGCCACCTCGTTGTTCTCATTGTAGTGTTTGTAATAATTGTGTTGAAACATTTGACCATCACTGTCCATGGGTAAACAATTGTATTGGTCGACGTAATTATCGGCATTTTTTTTTCTTCCTAATTTTTCTCAGTATCCATATGATAACAATTCTCATCTGGTGTATTCTTTACCTACTTGATCATAAAGTTGCCCTACGTGAACGTGATTCAATAATAGCTTTTGTTATTAGTGGTGTAATTATACTTCTCATTATACCAATAATCGGATTAACCGGGTTCCATATAATCTTGGTTGCTCGTGGTAGAACAACCAATGAACAAGTCACAGGAAAATTTCAAAGTGGCTTTAACCCTTTTTCCAATGGCTGCCTTTCTAATTATTGTAATATATTATGTGGACCTGTTCACACACGTTATCAAGCCCAGCCGAAGAAAAAGAGAAGAGAACCTTCCAATACATCTAATAATGGTTACAATTCGTTACATGGTACAAGTAGATACGATAAATCAATGCAAGTCTATGTTGATGAAGCAAATAAACTACTTTACGCCAAGTCTCCTGCCAAAAGCTCCCCTGTAACTCAAATTTCACCTCAATCATTTTCACCCTGTTTAAGAGATGCCTCTTTAAATAATTCACAAACCGGAGGATTGATTATTTATTATTCACCAGAAAGTTTAACTACTAAAAAATTGGACACTGATTGTAATCAAAAATTTGTTTCAGAAACTGAGTTGAAAAATTTTAACTCAACATCAATTGATTCAAGTTCAATCCATGAGACAACCATAACCACCACCACACCAAATGGCAGCTTTGATGTGAATAATTCAACACCAACAACAATTAACAGTAGTAGCAATAGTGCTGCCAATTCATCTAATAACACTACTAATCAACCACATTTTGCCAAAAGGCCGATCAGTTTTGTAAAAGCCTTGGAAATGTCTAATAAATTGGAGAGAGTCGGAGCCTCGACAAGACCCGTTGTAAGTCCAGCCAAAAATGTTGCCGATGATTCAAGACAAAGTCAATACGAAATGAATTACGAAATCTCAGTTTAAATGAGATGGAAAATCAACAACAACAACAACAACAAAATAAAGGAAAACATTGTAAATGGGAAAAAGAGATTAATTCAACACTCACCAAAATTCATCTAAACCTTCATGTAATAACCATAAAGTCTCATCATCATCATGATCATCATCTCTTCAACCACCTACACATCAACACACTCTCCACCTCACGCACATAATCACTTTTCTCATCATTTCATCAAGTCATCAATTAATAAGATCATTAAAACAAAGCTCATCTCTTTCAATTATCACATTGTCTTCTCATTTCCATCATGTTTGTGTCTCTGTGTCCTCAATCTTTACTTTGTTAACATCAAATTAGATCAGGAAAACAAGTGATCAGCTAATCAACAAACTATTTCAAGTAATTGATCATAATTTGTGACATTTTTTATTGATAATTTGTCAATATTTTCCTCATTGAATGCGAATGAGACTGAAAAAGCTCCGTCACCATGTAAATTATTACCATCAGTTTGCTAACTAATTGTAATCCATTTGAATAATTATCATGAAACAGATATCACAGTGAACAATTGATCTTATCCCATAAGCTGAATAGTGTAAACTAAATTGAATAGATTGTTAATCTGATTGAATTAATTTGTCTTTCCTTATGAGAGATGCCTTTTGTTACCAATTTAACTGTTATTCTTGCCAAAAACGAATCATTTATACTTTTAATTAAGATGATTATGGTACAGTTGACGAAGAAGGATTGATTCCTTGATAACCCAATGATCGATGTAGTTTATCCATTTCATTAAATTCTTCATCTTGATTATTTCCAGAGAGTAAATTAAAACCATCAGAAGAATCCAATTGCGTTGTCGTTGGTGATGGAGCGTTTTTTTTACTGTTATTCAAACTGTTAACTTGATCCATCAATTGATTATGAATATTAGTTGATCCAAATTGATAAAACTTTGAACCATTGTAATAATTAGTATCACAACTAGAGGAAGGCAAGAAAAACAAATCAAGTTAATTTCAATTGTGTTTAACAGGAAAACGGATAAAGATTAAATTCAATTGATGTGTCAATCAAAAGACGTTGTAATTAAATGTCGATAAAACTTCTCGTTACCAACCTACAAGTTTTCTCGTTGAAATGTAATCCAGATGAACATTTGTGATGATGGAGACATTTACATGAGCACGACGACGAATCCCAATATTTGGCTGAATTGGAGGTACATTCGGACAAATTTGATAGATCGCGACAAACACATCGACATTCCTCCTTTTTGTACAATTGACCGAACGTACAATCGGTTTCCTTTTGGATACATTTACATTCACATTGATTGTGACCCTCGAAAGTAAATCGTTGCCTTCCAGCGTATTTAAATTGACGAGAATGAGGTATATATCGAAGAACCATCACCTAAGAATAGAATTTAAAAAAACACCAAGTCAATCAAATTAATTTCAATGAATCGGAAGAAAGAAAAACAAACAATTAGTAAATCACAAGAGAATCAAATAAACCGGCTAATAGTACAAAAGGATTCTCATTAACTTGCAATTTACAATAAAGTAAACAAAAAGGTTCATTGATTAAGCGAGAAAGTTAAATGTGAGTATAAATTTACAATTAAAAGAGTAATTAACGTAATTAAACCCTAATATGGTTAATAAGTTTGAGTATCAATCATTAATTGATATGATCAAAACAAAACTTAAGTACAGACAAGTAGCACTTTGGATTTACAATTTGATTGTGTTTACTTAATATTAAGTGAGAGAGGGAAGTGTTTATGTTGTGAACAATTAGCATAAGTGAAAATATTATTAATTACGATCTTGTAATTGTCAGACTAATCAGTCTTACCTCAATTGAAATATTGGATGTATTAATCGGTTGACAGGTTAAACGATCACTTGGACAACATCCTGAACATTGAGGTATTTTAATGCAACCAGGGAAAAAGATTTCAGATTTACCTTGAGAAGCTTTGATTACTTTAGTCTGATTCTCTGGTGAACAAGTTCCGGGAAAATGATCCAACCCTTAAATCAAAAAAAAGAAGAAAAATAAAATTAATGTCAATCAATTTGTAAACCAAAGGAACCAGAGGAGTTTACAATGTGTTACAAAAGAAACTGTGACCTTAGAAATGAACATGGTGACATTTTCAAGACTCTAATTGTGTTGACATTATTTTCAATGATAACATTTTAACGAGGGAAAATTGATCACTAACGGTACTTTGAAACTGATCGTTTCAATGGATTCGCAAGTTGAACAGTATCATGAGTTTTGTTTTTCAGGGAAGACGATGAGGTTGATCATTCAGTCATTTCGGTGATATTTTCCTCTATGAAACTTTGCTCAATCGTGAATATTAATCTTCGGCATGAGGAACATCAACTTTATCACAATTAATTACTTGATGAGTTTTCTTTGAATCTAATACTTGATTGGAAAATCATGTTAATATCATGATAATATTGACGATACAATTTTCAATTTCATTCAAAAAAGAAGCAAGAAAAAAGAAAAAGAAAAAGTTTCTTTCATAAGAAAAGAAACTTCAATGACCTAATCCTAGATTTAAGGTAACAATCAATAAACATGGAAATTGATTCGATCACTTTGACAGTTAACTGACCATCACTTACTTTGGTCACTGATTGTTGTTTGATTGAGAGGGATAATGTGGAACCATTTCAATTGCAATAGTGACCAACGTTCGATGTGGAACAAGATAAGTTCATCTAACCTTTCAATTATCAACTAATTGTTTTGGAAATTTTTTGTTCTTTTTGTCAGTTTATTCTTTCAACTATCATTAGGCTTAAACATTTTGTCCTCTGTTAAATTATCTCTTTTCAATACGACAATTTCCTATTGAATAGGTTACTTAAAGATGGATTCACATAACATTATCACTCTATAACGGTCACAATCGGTCATTTTTTATTCTATTATCAAGGAAGTTTTTGTTCATCACTTGGAGAAAAGAAAAATTGAAAATGAATGAAGTACATTGGAGACTCGAAGATGAGGTGAAAACGAAAAGAAAATTTCATATATCGACTTACATTGTGATTTAGATTTCTCTTTAGGGGCGATGATGATTGTTGGGAGCAAAAGGGTAGAGAATGATTAATTTTTCACAATTAGAATGAATCATTTAAACTACTCACTCATTATGTTTCGAGGCTTTCGTTTATTCCTGGATTTTGATAATGGAAAATTTTTACCTGTCGAGAGAAAATATTAAGATGAATTATTATTGAACTGGTTGGAAAATAAGAATTGGGGATTTACTTTGATTAGTTGATTCGAATGGTAAATAGTCCATTAGTTGGTCGAAACTTTTAATTCGACTCAACCCTATCAACACTTCTTCAGGTATTGAGTTCTAAAAGATATGGAAAACAACAGGAAGTTATGAGATTAATTCAGTTCCAAAGGAATAGAACATTTGAAATGTTCGAATTTTTTTTTATCTTTTATAAGAAAATCTTACCTCATTTTCTTGGCTTTTATTTGATTGTTGACATTTAGAATTTGAATAACTAGAAAATTGTGTTAAAGATGATGAATTTTTAATCTGTGGTCACTGATTAAAGGTGAATTACTTTTTAAATGATTATCAAACATTGGAGCACAATAATAACACATAATTAAGGAGAAACAAATTGTTGAGAAAATGTTGGTGACCATGTTTCATATTAGAGGCCATTCAATGGGTTAAATTGTCTTCTCTCATTAACAGCAATTAATTAACACAGTAAACATGATGTGTCAATTAGACAAACACAAGTAGGTAAACCAATTTAAAAGTTTATGAATGAAGAAGAGGCTGATCAATACATTAAAGAAATCAGAGTACACATCATGTTTTACTGAATCAAATGTAAACAAGAATAGAGTTAATATTGAATGATGAGAAAATAACTGACCAAATAGTTGAAATTAACAGCAATTAATGAGAGTAAAATTTATATCCGATTGGATTGACCATCAATGATGTATGAGTAATTGAAACTTGCAGATGAGAAAAGAATTTCGAAAATGGTAAAAGAGAACAAAAATAATATGAATGAATAGGAAAACTTTTTCATTAGATTGTGAAATTTGAAGACTAATTGAGAGTTGAGAGGTTACATAATTTAAGGTTATGATCGTTGAAGTGGAGGGTCAAAGGTTTTCCAATGTTGTCTGGTCACTTGAACTGAAAAGACTGTTAAGCTTGAGAGGATTTCGAGAGAGAGAGAGAGAGACCGGGAGCTTATATAAGGTGATCTGGTTCGATTGTTATTCCAATTCACAATGAGAATTAATTGTTACTATTAAGTGGTCCTAGTTGAGTGGATTTACTTGAAGGTCGGACAGTTTAGTTGAAGAATAACAAAAAAAACAACAAAACGCACGGACAAAGTTCAATCAACGGGTAATGTGTTTGTTGTTGTTTTTTATATTTCATCGGCCGAAGAGGGTGGGAAGTGGACGGTGGGCTTTCTGACCATTGAATGCAAGGACAGAGGAAGGTGGGCAATGTTTATGTGAGAGAGAAAGAGAGAGAGAGAGAGGGAGAAAAAATTGGTTCGATTTAAATTGTAATTGTTTTCTGTTAGAACTTTTCTCTTTTTTTCTTTCTCTATGTTCGATGAATTTGTATTGTCCATTATTAACACTTAGAACTTTTTTTCTTTGGTCAATTAGATGATCTAATCTATTTTAAGTGTATATTTATTATGATTCCTTGTACCATATAATAGTTGATTTGATCACCTTTCGTACTTTTTTTTTACTTTAAATAGTTGATTGCAATCGATATTAAATTACTATTAGTTGACTCGGAAAAGTAATAATAGTAATTGGATTGTTATTTGTTGTGATATTTTATCATTTTTCTTATTGTATCCATTTAATTGTAATCTTATTGTTGAAGGTGTATAACAATTGGATTAGAAATGGCTACGTGGTTTACAATCAATGAATTAATCAAATTAGATTGTGACATTTAAGTTAATTGTAACTTATAAATTAACGGAAACGTGCCTGATCTGGATGAGGGTCAAAGTTAAATAGTTATTAAGATAATTAAATTAAGAACAATCTAATTGTGAGTTTGATATTTAGATTTACTCTCTTGATTGGTGATGATTTAGGAGAAAATTTGTTTTTTTTACTTATGTTAATTGTTGACCATTTAGAAGATTATTATTTCTGATCAATATTATCAATTTAATTTTCCATTAACATTCAATCATTTGGAAATTGATTGTTGACCTTTTTGATTGTCCGTTGAACGTTTTCCTGAAATGATAATTGATCAAAATATGTCAAAATTAAATAAACGATTAGAATACAATTAATTTACTTTTGTATTAATGTAACAATTTAATGTCTCATTGAAAATGTTAATTGTTTTTCTTAGGAAAATACAACAACAACAACAACGAAAGAAACAATTTAAAGGTTAATTAATAATCGACAGTAATTAAAATAACCAAATAATTGTCTAAAATACATTAGGCTTGCCAAAAAAGGCCATGTGTTTACCTTTATTTTCCTGTTATCGAGAAACAATTACAACAATTAACTTGATATTATTACTCTAAGTAATCAAATTAATTGAGTGAATCAATAATAATTCAAATATCGAACTAAACAATTAATGAGGAAAAAATGCTAATCGAAAAGGTTTAACGATTTAAATATTCGAATTGAGCAGAGGAAATCAAATTTGAAAAGTTAATTATAGAAAATGGAAGCTAAAAAATTTAGAATTTTAACAGAAATGATTAGTTAATTGTTTCCAATTTGGAACAACAAAAAATTCATTTGTAAATGGAATTCAAATTTGGCGCGTTCGAAAGCTTTGCTCTGTATGTTTACTCGTAACCATGGAAACATCAAGGAAACGGATGCGGAGAGAGAGAGAGGAAAAAATCAGTTGTCTTATTGATGAGATAGTTTGTATTTATCTGTGAATTGTTAATCATTTTTTCACTTTTATTAAGGAATTAATTTATTTGTAAACTATGGGTGAAAACGTTAAAGTGGAAGAGATTCCGGAATCTTTGATTGATGATCTAGATGAATTTTCTTTGAGCAAAAAGAAAAAGAAATCTAAAAAAAAAGCTTTCAATATCGATGATTTTGAAAAGACTTATTCTTCATCTTCAGCAGTGATTGGTGATGGTGAAGGTTCTGGTGAACAGGTTGTTTCAAATGATTCAGGAATCGTTACCGGTGGTGGTGGTGGTGGTGAAGGTGTTGATACTGAGGCTGTCGATGAAGATGATGATTTTGAATTGAATCTTCCTAAAACCAAACCTAAAAAGATTAAATTTGTGGACGATGATTTATTAAACGATGGTGATCAGGGTGATAAAGATGAACCTGGGGTTTATATTGAAGAAAATTCGGCTCGAGATGCTGTTGGTATCACTGCTTCGGTTGACGCTTCTTGGGCCAATACAGATCGTGATTATCTATATGAAGAGCTATTAGCTAGAGCTTTTTACATTATCAAGGAGAAAAATCCTGACATTATTTCCGGAGAAAAGAAAAGACTTGTCATGAGGCCTCCTCAAATATTAAGAGTGGGTACTAAGAAGACTTCTTTTGCCAATTTCCTGGATATTTGTAAATCGTAAGTTGATCATTATGATTATGCCAACACAACTAATCTATTTAGAGTCTCTTATTAGTCGAATGTTATAGCATCTCATCCCCCCATTCATTTTGCATAATTAATTAGTACCTAAAGGTTTTCTCAACTTGCTTATAGTTATTTCATTTGTTTGCCCATTCGAAATATTGAAACTCATTATCGTAATTTCATCACTTTTTTTTCTTGTGCATTTATATTAACTCTCTTTTTGTTTCCTTTTCTCTTTCAATAGTTTACACCGTCAACCAAAACATCTTCAAGCTTTCTTATTAGCTGAATTAGGAACCAGTGGATCTGTCGATGCGAACAATCAATTGATTATTAAAGGTCGTTTCCAACAAAAACAAATTGAAAATGTGCTTAGGAGATATATAAGTAAGAATTTTACTTTTTCAAGACAATTTATTATATTGTTTATCCTTTTTTGGATCTATTTTTCTAATTTCTCTTTTATTTTCCAACAGAGGAATATGTTGCTTGTCAAACATGTAGATCACCTGATACCGTCTTACAAAAAGACACTAGATTATTTTTCCTTCAATGTGAAACTTGCGGAAGTAGACGATCAGTTACATCAATTAAAAGTGGTTTCCAAGCCGTTACAGGCAAAAGAGCTGCTATACGTGCTAAAACTGCTTAAATTTACTCACCAATATATTTGGATGGAAACGATTTCACACTTTATGTTAAACTTGAATGAAAATTGGAGTTTACTTGTTATTTTTGTTAATGTCAAAGCAAACAATTTACTTGTCAAATTAAATGCAAGAAATCTGGAATTAAAACTTGCTTTAATCACGTAAATTTTGAAACACGACGGCCCAATTTAGAATCCAATTATTATTTTCTGACCATTTTGTGATTTAACTGTGTCTCTGTATTCACAGAAAATGAATACACAACACCAAATGATACCACATTATCTATCTCATCACATTTATATAATCCTAGAATAATTAAATGTAAATAAATCACTTTTAAACAACAATCAACAATCCCCTCTGTCTTAATGGTTAACACAATTTAACCCAATTAGATGAAAATGTCGAATAACTTAGCAACAGTTTATCCAATTATTTCTCGATTTCGCTACCTTCGAACCCAATTACTGAAGAACAGTCAAGTAAGAACAATTTGATTAATTTCTAATTTAAATCGAAACTAAATTAACTCAATTGAACCAATTTCTCCAAAAAAAAAAACATTTTCCAAATTTGATTTTCTTTTTGAACATTGATGTGATTTGAATAGTTAGAAAAGTAGATTATTGAAACTCGATGATTAAATTGATTGTTCATAATGACGTCGATTTTTAATTGGACCAATTAACTTTAAATTGGACGAAAGAAACCAAATCTCTTTCTTATTTCTCTTTCTTTTTCTCTTTCAATTTTCTTTCTTTCGGTTGCTTAGCTATTGAGGGAGTTTCAATTCTGTTAGAAAATCAGAGAGATTTGAGTTTGTTTACTTTTTGTTTTGTTCTTTTCTTAATTGTAATTGTTTCAATTTGTTTGTTTTTCTGTTAAAATTTAGCAATTTAAGATGTCGGTTTTAGCTCTGGTCATAGTTAATTCAGATAATTATCCAGTTTTCATCAAAACTCTACATGATTATGATGTGAGTAAAATGTCCGCCGAGGAGAGTATGAATATCCTTTACAATATGAATGCCACATTGGATATAATTGAAGAGAGACAAAGTCAAATGCAAAACCGTGATCCATATTTAGGTGAGTTAATTGTTGATCTATTTTGACTAATTAATTCTTATTCTATGCTTTCTCTATATAACCAGGCCTTCTCAATCAATGTGAGAATTACAAAATTTTTGGACTTCTTTCTGCTACTCGGATAAAGATTCTGTTGATGGTTTCAACAAACGTCAGTGTCATGTTTAGGTTGGTAAATTGTCCATTTTATTTGTTAACAATTTAATCACCTTTTCTTTAATTGTTAATTAACAGAGATACCGAGGCCAGAAGTACACTTAAGAATCTCTATTCATCTTATATCGATGTTACAACTTACAATCCTTTCTATTCCCCTGGAAGTGAAATCCAATCAAAGTAAGAACAAAATTAGTGAATTTCAAGTAAATTGATTGAATGATCTGTTGATTTTTCATAATCAGAGACATTAAATTGTTACAAAAAAAATTTATACTTACGTTTTAACTTTCTAATTACAGGAAATTAGAAGAACTAGTCAAGAGCATCTTTGGTTTGACCACAGAATATAACAATTGATTGTTGGCTTTGAAATCTCTATTTTAACACCAAACTGTAAATACTAATTTGAATATAAGAAAAATATTTTTCAAGTGTAAATCTAAACAATAACCGATGTCAATTGCATGGTGGAAATGAACAATTAACCTCAAGTCACCAAGATGATTGACAAAAAACAAAATGGAGAGACCGGAAAATCAATTGTTACCATCATCATAATCAAATTCACTGATTATACTGGAGATTACATTTTTAATTTCATCTACAAGTGAAAGATATATGGGTTTTTTCACAATCAGATTTTTGGGCTAACGATATACAATCAATTAAAACCGTGAAGGTAACAAGATAATTACTTTAAGGATTGATAAAAATGAAGGAATCATAGACAAAGTTGATGATCAAGACAGAGGGAAAAAAACAATTGATAATCTCCATAAGGGTTATTTAAATTAACTGTTCCAATTGAACAATTAATTGGTATAAATACACCAATCAAAATGAACTTCTATCATCACAATCAAGTGTAACTTACCTCAGTGAACATCATTCACCAATCGACAAACAATTAACTAACAACAACAATGAAATTCGTTACAATTCTTGTCTTTTCTCTTCTCCTTTGTGGTCTTGCTTTCTCTCAAAGTATCGATCCATCCAACATCACCCCTGGAACTGATATAACCTCAGAAGGATATGATTTCTCCGCACTCACCCCCCTGGTTAAAGGTCTAATTGATGGTTTTCGAATGATGATGCTCCAAGTTCGTTTCGTTCGAATGTTATTTGAAAATCTTGGCGTTGAAATGGGAAGAATCGCTCGAAACACAACCACTATGCCTTCCTCAGGGCCACCCTATCCACTCCCATCGAAATATGGTTTATTCAGTCGAGAGGAAACCGAATCTTCATCATCCGAACCCAGTCAACCCAGTCAACCTTCAATCGGTGAAAACATTTTCGGTACTCGATTCCAACAGATTTTTGACCGATGGGGTGAAAATACCGCTGTCGCTTTCCGAGGTCTTCTCAGTGAGGTTGCCCATGTTTACCAAGACGCTGTTACCACTATGGTTAAACAAGGTGAAGTCTCCAGGAATCAAGTTGTCGCTGGTTACAATACCATCCGAACTGCCATGACTTCAATTTCCAAGATGATTCAAGAAAATTTTCCCACTGCAACTTCCGTTGCTTCATCAATTTCCAACATTTCTTCAGCAATTAACCAAAATGTAACCAACATCTTATCCGGAATGGTTCCCGATGGATTACCAACCGGATTACCCATCACTTTACCCACTGGATTACCAAGTATTCCCAGTATTCCCGGTCTTCCAGGACTCCCAAGTTTACCCAATCTTCAAGATCTTATTCCAACCACCCCACAAACTGGATCATCTCAACCATCAAAGAAAAAGCATTAACTAATTAATCAATTATCTAATTAACTTTCAGAGTAAAAAAACAATTTATCAACATATCTTTGTTTCAGTATCAATGATTGACAACAATTAATAATAATATCATCTGATTGCTTACGGACAAACAAAATCAATTTCAATGTAAACATCAATTTCTGGTTAAAATTAAAAAAACTAATTCACAATTTAAAGTAAACCAATTGTCTCAATTTTCAAGTATTTGATTCAAAGTGCAATTAAAAAACACTAGTTTTTAATTTGATTAGAAAAAAATGAAAAAAAGATTAACAAGATTAATCACTAATTGGAAAAAATTAAAAAAACAATTAACTTGTAATTAGATGAACAGAGACATTAACAACTAATCAATTTATAGTTTGTAAACAACAATTTAATCAACATTAATCAAATCTAATTGTTTCATAATCATAAACATATCAAAATGATTAAAAATAAACATGATTGTGAATTAAATTCAATATTATTATTAATAGAAATCATGTTTAACTATTGAAATAATCAAATCAATTTAAGATGTAAGTAAATAAGATTAACCAGAATTAATAACAATTTAATGTGTATCATTGACAAGATAATACAAATTGTTAATCATAAATCAAATTTTCTGCCTAAATTGTAGCAAAAAAAGTTAATCAAATTAAATTGTTAAGCTGTTGTAAGCAAATAAACAAATGTCATTCACCAACAATCAGTTAACGACAGCGAAATAATCAAATTTGATTAGCATAAATTATCATGATTAAGAACCAATATCAATGTGAATAATGAAACAACGAAAATTGGATCAACAATTAAATCAACTGATCAACGAAAGATTTAACAATCAATAATATCTAGATTATTGTTGATTTCATGACAATTTAAGTTTGAAAAGTTTCCACTAATGGTGAAAACATGATGGAAAAACTCAGTATGAACTTTGAGAATTTAAATTATCATCATTTTCTGGATGAAACGACAGATTGATGAACCAGAATTGAGTGTGAAAAAAATAATATAACTGAAACTTTTCCCCATGTAAATGGTTATCATGGTGATCACCATGTAATTGATAATAGACAAGAAAATGAAATGATTAACATACACAACTAAATCAGAATGAAAGTACAACAATTTATCCTTATTGTTATTTATCATTAATATTTCACCTTCACAATTAAATGATAACAGGTAACAATTTCATGAGAATAATTCTGATGATATTTCATGATGATAAAAGTTCTGATAGAAATTATCTTTCTATTCATTTGAATGCAAAGAATGAGAAATTTTTTCTTGTTATTGTTTCGCATTCTGATTTAATATTATTTTCATTTTTCATGGTGGATATTATTTTATTTCCCGCTGTTAGTTTTCATCATGTGTTCATTTACATGATAAATTATTCATGGTAAATAAATGAGATGATAAATTGTTTGGAAAGTTAATAAAAAAAAGGTAAAAGGGACTGACAGTAAGTAAGAAATAAGGTAAATGATCAAATTTTCATGAATAGAAAATGAAAAAAGTTCATGATTCAGATTCGAGATGCAAAAAGAAAAAGTTTAAAGTTCCAAGAAGCTGATTACGAATTAGTAATCAATTAATTTATTGATTAAGTTGATTAGTTTTATCGATCAACTTGGTTACCCTAGTTAATTGTTACCATTGAACTTGTTGATTTTAAGATGAAAAATACAAAAACAAACAATCACAATGATACAAAAATAATCAAATCAACAGAATGGAAACAATTTAAACAGGTAAATTAACTTGATTACAATCAAGACAAAAGTTTAATTCTCAGTCAATGTCAATTCAATGTCAATTTTGATAAATAATTAACTGAATCAAATCTAAATTGATAGTCAAAAGTCAATTAGTGTTTACAATATTCAAATCAACTTGATCGCCATTGAAATTGTTTTAACAATTTAAATTGTAAATAATAAATCAATATATTGATCTGTGATTTAGTTAATTAAAACTTTCCAATAAAATTGATGTAACTGTTAATCAGATGTATCTAGGTGTTAATTTAATCAATTATTAAGCTGAATTAAGTTTACCTGTTGATCAATTCATTTGAATCATTTGAAATTGATCATAAGAAATTCAATTAATCATCTGAATGAATTATGAATTTACAGATTAATTAACATGATAGTGAACTTATCAAAGTGAATTAAATATTATTTGACATTTAAATGTGATGATTAAATGAGAGACAAGAAGATAATTTAATATTAATTGTTGCCGGAATTAAGTCAATGAGACTAATACATGAACTTTTTCATTTTTCTCATGAAAACATGAGTTCAAAAAGAAGAGTAAAAAACTTCCGGTTCAGATTCTGTTCTCATGAAATATTGGATTCATTGTATTAATTAAACAATAGTAATGAATTTTCGAATTATTTGGCTTATTAGAAAACTTTAGATTTTGATTAATAATTTAGTATAATTGAGAGTTAGATAATGCTTAACATGATACATAAATGATCATTTAGATGATTAGTTTAATTACAATTTAATTTATCAGTGATAAATTTGTTTCGATCTTATTGAGGTCATTTTGATGAATATGAACTGAAGATTAAAATTAAAACAAATATTCTTTGATTTTGATACTATTGATAAATTTGAACAATTAAAACGATCAAGTTCAATTTTATTTAATTTAATCAAAAAATTTACCATTGATTTTCCATAAAAGCCGATTTTCATGAAGTTCTTGATTTAGAATCAATTTTAGTAAAAATCTCCATAGACAATGTCTTCAATGGTAAATGATTTGATTAAATTAAATGTCGTTCAATGTTCAAATTATCAATAATCAAATCACAGGTAATTTCAGTTCAATATTCATCGAAAAACCAAACAAAGATCAATTCTATCTTTAGATAAAATGGTTGATTAAGCAATCATCTAAAATCATTTGCTGTTAAGCTTATCTATCTCTAATCTCAAATTGTCAAAATCTAAAGTTTTCTAACAATCCAGATGTAACTCACAGTATTGTTATTACATAAATATCAGATCCATATTATCATCTCATCATCATCATCATGAAATGATGTCAACAGTTTGGTAAACATTATTATCGCCATCAACATATAGATACAATGAGGGATGAACTTTTTTCCGCCATAATTTCATGATGATGATTATGGAAACAAAGATTCTGAGCCAGAATTTTTCTCATTCTATTATTGTTTTTTATTCAGTCTTTTTATCAGAGATTCTTGGCAAGTGGGCAAAAGGAGGAAATTCATTCCCTTTCTTCATATCCATAAATTATCAACTCCCAGTTCTCAGTTTTTTTATCATTTTCCATCATCTTTTATCATCATTACATGAATATTAGAGCTAAAAGGTTATCATTGAGAAAAAGAAGATAACAAAAAAAAAGGAAAAAAAAGTTCCAAGATAAAGTTCTAGAACTAAATTCTGAGGCGAATGCTCAATCTCCTGTCCTATCTGTATCATAATGATAATAATAATAACAATAATGCTGATAATGATAATACTCCCAGAACTTTGTCTGTCTCTCTCATTTTGGTCTCTCTTTTTAGATACTCTCACTCCCACTCTTCATTTATCTTCCTCCCTGAAAATTTCAACTGAATCAGTTATTCATACAAAATCCTTGAGTGAACAACATTATTTTGCTTGTTTCAATCATCTGATTAGTTAAAATCAGTTAATGTTCATCAGTGATTAGTAATCTTAATAAACTAAATTGATCATTTGCAAAGTTTAAAACATTTTATGTAGACAATTTAATCCTTTGGATTTACAATTTACTACAATCAATTTTAATAGTGTGAGTATAAAGATTTGATCATTTCCATTTCCCATTCATTGAATGTTTTTCTTGTTGTTGTAATCAATTAATAACATTGAGGATCATTAATCATTTTGATTTCTGTTGTTACGTTTGATTTGTTTACTATTAGTTTACACAAATTGTTACCATTACTTTATTTTTTGATTGTCACCTAATCACCCCAACAACAATCAACCATATCGCTAATCAATCAACTAATTGTTTACTTTCACTTTGTGTTGTTAGATTAACTAAATTATTAATAATCGGACACAAATTTGAACAATATCATTAACTTGACAATCAATTTTATCTGGTAAGTGACTATTTTTCACTATTTTCATTGATTAATTTAAATAATTAACATTGGATCAAATTGGTTAAAGTTTAATCAACTATTTTCCAGTTGTAATTAAATATTGATAGAATTTTTTTCCCAACTAATCAACTGGAATTGATTAAATTGATCACTGAAAAGTGAAAAAGTTTTTATATCAAATCAGATATTGAAATTTAGAAATGAGAATTGAATGAAAAGTAATCAGAATGTTCAGTTAATCAGATTGAATTATATTGTTAAACTTTCGTCATTCCTCATGGGCTCCAGATTACCTGTCGAAAATGTTTTCGAGTCGAAAGTTCTGATGGAAAAATCGAGATAAAGAAAAGTTCTAATGAAAAAAAAAAGGAGAAACGATTCAAATGGAGAAAAATTGATCGACTCTTCTCAAAATGAGAAACTTTTTTCTCTCTCATTCAAATGATAATCGTATAACAATAAATTCACCGTTAGGTCAATCAGATTTGGAATCATGATAATCATCATTATGGATTCAGATGAATATCTTATTGAGAAAAAAAGAAGAGTAAAAAAAAATACTCTAAGAACTTTTCTTTTCGAGTTTATTTTTTACCTTTTTCTCGATAAATTTAATTTCGATCAACAATTTACACCCAAATGATTGGGAAACTGGATTAAAATCAATATCAACAGATAGGTAACAATTTACTGATCAACTGGTATCAATTACAATTAATGATAATTACTAATGACACTTGAAATTGTATGAAATAGTTTAAGTATCTCAACGATATCCATTAATTCAATAACTTTGATCGGTAACAATTTTTTTCACCCCATCAAAGTAAAAAGTTCAATCATCATGAAATGAATGAGGAAACTTGAACCTATACACCAAATGAATCAAGAAAAGTTCAGCAAATTGTTGAAATTTTAGTTATTAATCATTGAAGTAATCATGATAATCTAAACCCTGAGTTCTCCCTGATTCAATCAGATTCCAGAATCAATTGAAATTAATAACAAATCTGTGAAGAAATAAAAAGAAAAGTTCAACAATCAGCTGATGTTCAATTAAGATAATTATGATTGTGAGAGTAAAAAAGTTGATTAAGAGTTAACATTAATCCCTTTTGAGATTAAATCAGATTAATCGAGAGGAGATTAACAATCAATATGTTGAAACATAAATTGGTTTCTGTTACATTGATTAACTAAAGTAAATATTGTAAGCTTGTGATTAAGCTAATCAATGGCACGATAAGTTCAATTTACTTTGATTGATTTAACAATAACAATTAACTAATCAACAAGCTGGTTAATCAGCCAATCAGTAATCAAAATTGAATCTGATGAAATGAAAATGAAACTTTTTTTCTCCTTGTTGTTGTTTGTAATTAGATTTAATTGTCAAGAGATTACTTTCTGATTACAATTCTAATTGAAAAGTTAACGATAATAGTTAACAAGGTGTAACAATTTATCAACAACAATTACAACAATGTTGATTCAATTTGATTTAATTGTTAACAAGTTTAATGGATTAAGATGATCAAATATTGAGACGAAAAACTTATTGACAATTAAATTAATCCAATTGTTACAATAGTTTAAATTTGATTGGAATCTTTTTTAATTTCATTTAACATTAACTTTGTACTAATACAATAATCACAATTAAGCTACAATTAACTCTGAAATTTTTACTACAATCAAGATCAAGTATTCATTAAGATGATAATTACAATTAAGATTAAGTAATTAACATTGACCAAGCTGTAATACAATATTGATTTGAATTGAGTAACAATTAAATTGTTCAAGACAATAACAATCAACTAGATTGAGAGATATATCTGGTTGATAGGTAACAATTAAATATCGTAATTAAATTGATAAAGGAAACAGTTTGTATCATCATGATAATTAATGAATTGTTAATTTCAAAGTGTTGAAAATGTTTCAATGCAACTTTAATTATCTATCAAGTTAATTATCATTATAATCAAGTGGAAAAAACTATTTTCATGTTTCCCTGATGATAATTATCATCAAAATATTCAATCATGATTATCATTACCATTTGGGATAACATGATTTAACTTAATTCCAATTTAAATTGTTACAAGATCAAATCTCTATACTATGACAATTAGAGTTCCCATTGAATTGGAAGAGACAAAAAGTTGTGATAATCAATTTTAATCATTTCCATGTAAAATTCACCAAGAGTTCTGATAATGATCATGTTTTCCCATGATCGATATAAACTGAAAGGTGGAAAAATATTCATTCCCTGTTGATTCAGAACTTTTTTTTTAGAACTTCGAACTCGATGTATTAGAACTTTTTACTTATTTTCTGATTCTCTTTCAATTGGATTTGATTGTTAAAGATTTTACCATTTAAAGTTCCAAGTGAATAATAGTTAATCAGAAATTTTTTTCCCAAAAAGTTTCGAAAAACATTCTCGGTGTTTTTCATTATTTCCTTTTCTGTTCAACTTTCAGAACTTTTCTCTGTACAAATGGAATTTGATTCATTTGAATGATACAATTGAATAGAAAAATTTAATTCCTTTAATCATGTTGTTCATCATCATCAGTTGAATACCTTTTTTTCAATGGGTTCATGAAGATATCATGGTAATGATTAAGTAAACAGTGAAAAAGACATGTGTAAATTTTGTGTGTTTTCAATTTCAGATTGAATAACATGATAAACTCAGAATTGAACTTATAGTTTCCAACAGATCAACAGGTTTGAATAAAGTTAAAAAAACTTGATTGAATTAAATCAACAACAATTTACGAATCAAAGTTTTTCCATTCAAAACTTTATCACCATTTTCTTTTCATGAGTTTTATTATTATTATTCTGATTCCAATGTAATCCAATACACCGAGACGAAAACAATTAGAATTGAACTTTTTTTTGTTCATTCTTTAATGGTTTAAGAATCAGTTTTATCTATTTTGCTTCCATATCATAATTCATGTTTAAATTTCATGTATATGAAATATTATCATGAAAACCTTGAAAATCTGATGATTATGAGGTTTCTAAAAGTTCTGGTTTCACTGAGCATCATTACACCAGTTGATCAAATGATAAAGTTCAGAGTAATCTGATATTCAGCTTAAAAGTAATAATAAGTATTCCAGTTTTAAATTTTAAACCATGATAATGATCATCATGAGTTTTAATTATTCTCATCTGAATTGATAATTTACCGAAAATTTTATAAACACAATCAACATAGATGCACTTAAATTGATAATTAACAAAAACTATTACGATAATAAGGTCAGAATTTCAGAATTTCAGAGTCTCAAATAATATATTGTCCTGATTGTCTATCGGATTAATCGGATTACCATGTAACCACCTACACCAACCATTAACTACTATTATCTTAATTGTTACAACGGGAGTGTAAAGATGATTGATTTAATCAAATTAAATGAAAAGTTAATCAACCCTTATAAAGATTAGTTACTGATTTGATTGATAAGTTCAATTGTGATTCACAATCAGTCTTGATTGTTTAAACTCGTGACATTTGAACAATAATTATTGACTAATCAAATACTCAAATCAACCAACAATCAACCAGTGGTAATGATAATTGTCATTTCTTAATAGTAACAACAATCAAATGATAATAATAATATTCGGATTCATATCTTTTCATGATGTTCAGTTGAAATAAATTCATACAAACTGATTATCACTCCCAGTCCACCAATAAAACAACAATCAAAATGAACCTTTTCTTAATTAACTTTGCTACGTGATTAAAGTTGTTGATTAACCATTTTTTTTGTGGATTATTGTTCTTGTTGATTATCTTACCCTTGAAACTAATCAATTTAACCTTAACATGAGATTAGATTAACTTGTAATCAATATAATTTATATATTATAGCCAATAGATTAACAGAGGAAATTAAATGTAACCATTAATCAAATCCTTAATTGTTACTCCCCTTGTTCAAGTGTATCAATCACATTGAAAGGGATTAATTGTGATTAAGGTTTACAAATGATTACATGGGGAAAATTTCAATCAGTTAACATGAGAAAAGTTCAATTTCAGAGTAAAATTAATGTACTTCAATTGAAGAGGATTTTTTATCCTCATGATTACTTATGAATTATTATCGATCAGCTGTACCACCCACCGATGGATATTGAATGAATTCATCATGAGAACTTTGTTTTCTGATGAAGATGATAATTGTTTTACTATTGGATTGATGAACAATCAACACCAAAAGTTGATGGGTGAAACAATTATCATGAGATGTTGAAGATTGTTGAATATTTTTGTTGTTCAGCTCAGTGAAAACCCACCGGGTGGAAAGAGAGGATCCGCAATGGAGGAAAATGAAAACACTTTGATATTAGATGAAAGTGGAAATAGAAAAACAAAAGTTTAATCATCAATTTTGCTAATCAAATTATCCAATTGATATTGAGAGTATAAGTTATTATTATAACGATCATGTTGATCCGGAAAATTTCAACTCGACCAAATTTGATGAAAAATGATCAGAATGAAATGATGAACATGAAATATTCATATTGATCAAGAAGAGTGTAAAGTAAATCAATCAACATGAAATAATTATTATCATCATCCAATAACATGAACACTTTACCTGATCAAAATGGTCACTCGTTAGGAAGATATTGTTAGTAAGGTAAAATAATTTTGCTTGACCATTTGGTTTGATTTTATGTTGACCACAAGAGTTGAGGGATTTTCTCAATTTTCATCTTACAGTCAATCTCTTTTGGTTGAGACACTTTGTGCAAATGAATGAAACGGGTAAGCAAATGAATGGGACACTTTTTGTTCCCGCTAAGAAAAGTCATAAAACATTTTATTGCTTTCGCAAAATTTGAAACAGTTAACCCAAATGAGCGGGACAGTTTTGGGTAAGGACGAGACACTTGTTGTTAGGTCATTTTCTTTTAAGGTTTTCCTAAGGTTAAATAGTTAATTTTTC